GGGGCTCTCACCCCACTCTGTGGTCTCCCCACATCCCTCTTTTACTGACATTTGACTATCTCAATTCCTTACTGGAGGCTGCAGCTCTGGCACCGGGTCCTTCTCTCCAGTGGTTCAGTTTTCCTACAAAATGATGCAAAAGGTCTTAGTGAGAGCTTTTTGGTTCCATCAGAGCTGGTTGAGTTGTGAGGTGGGCTGTGGTTCTCCATCCCTTCTGCTGATGGGGCAATTCTGACTGATGCAGCTGCTCCCAAACCTGTGCTTCCCGGAGCATCCTGCTCCAGGCAGCCGCCTGCTCGCTCTAGAAGCTGAATGGGTAACTTCTGCTGTAATCCCTCTTTCCCTTAGACACTCTTTGCTTTGCATTCATGCTTTTCCTGCTCTTGGCATGGAGCTGGTAAGACTGTGGTTTTGGGTGAGGGACCACCTGGCTTTGGGAAGCTTTGCAGGCAGCCTGCAGCCCCTCCAGCTATATCCCATGGCAAAACCTCTCGTCTGCCCTCAGTCCATGTGGCTGAGCTCTTGGTGCCACCACGGGGACGTGACAGCCGTGGTGACATGCACTGCAAATGCAGTGTCACAGCTAACAGTGCAGGTCAGCTGCTGGGATTTGTCGCTGTTACGGGCGTTGATTTAGATTAAGTATCTTCTTGTTTTTTGCTTTATTATACTGATATAATTAAAGTTCCAATATTCTCTGGCTCACGGCAATGCAAGGCCTAGGACGTGAGTCTTGCTTGTATTAATCTTTATAAGTGGGTTGTACTGAATGGTAGCTCAGCTCACCCTTTGCCCTCAGTGTGTTATGAGTGCGGAAGCAGCATCTTGGCCCCGTGCTGCCTGCTGACATCTCCCCGAGCTCTGCGTGCCCCCAGAATGCTGTGTCAGACCCCCAGAAATACTCAGCTGCAGTGCAGTGGCCACGGGGGAGTCATGGGCACATTCCAGTGTGGGGCAGCTGCTGCCTGCCCAGGCTGCATTGCTGGCATTTTTCTGCTGGGATGTGGCAGGAAGGCATCTCCAAATCCCCCTTCCTGCTGCCCATGTCCTTGCACTTCAGTTCTCTTTGTCTATGCTTCCTGGCAGTGCTGAGCCATCCCAGCAGTGATCCGCTTGGTGCTCATCCTCACCTCGCTGGATGCAGGGTTTTGGTGACCTGAAACACAGTGTTCAGCACCACATCCTCACCTCGTCCCTGAACACTTGTCCCTGCTGTTGTCCCCAGCCAGCACCCCCTATCCAAAAGCACTGTCTGCATCGACTGTGCCTCCCCGAGGACAGCTGATGCTGCAGCCTCACAGCTGCTTCTAGTCCTGCATTTTCGAGGTGGCTGAGCAGGGATAGAGGGGGGAAAGGAGCGTTCCTCCTAGAGCAGCTGATGCAGGAACCTCATTTTGGAAACTAGAGAAGGGCATGCGGGTGGCAGCTGCTGTGCTGCTGCTCCCTGGGGCTGAGGGTGCGGGGAAGGCATGTGGGGGTGCTGGGGGCCCGGCTGCCTCGGGGTGAGCCCAGGCCACATGCACAGGGCTGGACATAGGATCCTCTGCTTCCTGCCCTGAGCTGGGCTGTGTGGTATTGGGTGACGCTCCCCAGCAGCTGTCACCTCCGCCCCAGGTTGGCTGGGGCCGAGCAGGTCCTGTCTGGCCTTGGGGAGCTATTTTGCATGATACTGAGGTTTCTGCGGCATGGGGACCCTTGGGGCCCCCCGTGTGTTGTCACCCTCCACTTGCAGTCCTGGGCTCTGCAGAGCTGTGGCACAGGGCTGTCCCTGCGGGTTTACCACTCGCTACATCCCCGGTGAGTACTGGGGAGAGAGCGGGGAAGGCTTTGAAACGCGCTCCTGTAAGTAAGCCCTCCTTTCTCCTTGCCTGTCAGCGCTGTGCGAGCCCCGTGGAACTGGAAAGGGTCCCCGTGAAAAGGCTACGGAGTGTGTTTGAGGCAGATAAGTCCCTGCCTTTGAAGTGTGGCAGGCGGGCGAAAGCGCCCTCCTCTTGTCTCTCCTGCCAGCCGCTGAGCATTAATCACAGCGCGCGCAGATAAGAGCAGAGCACAAAGCGTCGCCGAGCACTTCTCGTGCCAAGAGGAGGGGGCTGCCGGCAGCGGGCAGGGGGTGGGAGAGCCAGGTGTCCCCCTGCAGGGATGTGGGTGACTCCAGCTCCTCTCTTGGTCACTGTCTGTGCCGCGGTGCCGTGCAGCTGTGCCGTGCAGTCTGCCCTGGCTGCTGCTGCTGCTGCTTGTTAAATCCAAAGGCAGCCCTGGTATGTTGGCAGCCGCTTTCCTCACCCGCTGTGCTCGCTCCCCACCCGCTGTGCCTGTGCTGGGGCTGAGCTGTACAGCGCCGGGCTGCCCATGGCTGCTGTTGGGTCCTCTCATCTCTGCCTGCAAGGGGTAATGGCCTCTGGTTGACCCAGGAGAGGTTTGGGTTGTCTATCGGGAAAAATACTTCTCAGAAAGAGCGGTGATGGCGCTGCCCAAGGAGAAGTGGAATCATTAGTCCCTGGAGGTGTTCCAGAACCTTGGAGATGTGACACTAAGGGATGTGGTTATGGGCATGCTGGGGGTTGGCATTGGTGATCTTAGAGGTCTTTTCAATCTTAATGATTCTATGGTCTCACCACCTGCCTTGCCAAGCTGGGTAGCTTCTCTACCCCGAGCTGTGCACGTTGCCATTGTAGGTTCCTTGAAGTCGTATAGGTCAAGGGATGAAATACACAGGCTGGGAGGAAGATGGTCTAGTTTTTGGGTGGTCCTGTGTGGAGCCAGGAGTTGACCTTATTGGTCCCTTCCAACTGGGGATATTGTGTGAAGAAGAGTGCCTGGGAGCAGGTGAGAAAGCAAAGGGTTTATTTAAGCAAAATAAGTTTTGCTCTGATGAGTGTTTTTTTTTATCCACAACTGAATTTCCAGCTGTGTGCACAAACCACCAACTTAATTTCTGTGGTGTCTTCTACCCAAGGGTGCTTTGCTCCATTCATCCATCGTCAGCCTCCCTGTCTGAAGCCCACACCAGGGGGCCATGACTCATCCAGAGCTCAGGGGTATGACAGTGGTTGGGATGGTGCCAGCTAGTAGAGGCACCCCAATGCCTCAGTGGGGCTGGAGAGAGGCAGTAGCATCCTCCATTTCATTGCAGCCCTGTGACTCCTTCCAGCCCCATAGGAAACAAAGCTCAAGCCTGAAGCAGCCGGCTCTGCTGCGCGGAGACAGGTAGAGCAAGGGCAGGAATCCAGAGCGAGAAATTAGTGCAAGTAATTATTAGTATTGGGTAATTATATCAGCGTCAGGATGAGGAGAAAGGTTAATAGATTTTTTTTTTTTTTTGGTAAATGTCTTTTCCCCTGGGTGGAAGGGAAGCAGGGTGGGCAGGAAGGCACGTGCTTCCGAGGGGGCTGCTCTGATTAAAGCACATCCTCTCCCCCTGCCCCAGCCACCGCCGGCCCCGCAGGTGGGCATAGGCTGGGAGCAGCCCCATGCCAGTAACTGATGCTGCTCATCTCATCCTCTAGCTTTGGGAAACCGCCGTCCTATGGCCCAAGCAGCCCACCCAGGTCTTCAAACCTCATTTTGGCTGTCCCCCAGACCTGCAATTAGAACATCCTCAGCAGTGGGAGCTGTGTGCATCGCAGACCCCACCGGAGCGCTCCGTGTGCCATCGCCTCTTTGCTTACAGCGATTATTTTTAGGTCCTTCCTGGAGCCTCAAATTAACTGGAAGTGCTTCACGTCTGTTGGTTTTTTTGCTTTTTTTTTTTTTTTTTTTTTTTTGATACATCTCTTTCTCTTTCCCAGCACTGCGCAGTGCAATAATGTAATGGGGAAATTACCCCGCTAGTTAAAAATTACTGCCAGTGCGACATCCACCCGTAGATCTATTTTAGAACCAGGGTAAAACTGTATCGATTCCTCTGCGCCGCAGCTACGGCCCATAAAAGGGCTGGAAAGGTGCATTTGTCACGTTGCCATAGCGAGGGATGGATGCTGCTGCTGGGATCAGTAAAAACCCTCCTCTGGGGGGACCTTGGGTGATGCTGGGTGCTTTGTGTGGGATGTTCCCTGTACAGGTGCTGGGGGTTTGAGCTCTGATGTTGGAGTGAGGTGAATGTGGTCTTGAAGCTGTGGGCATGAAGATACCCCCAGAAGGGCGGGTGGAGGCTTTGGGATGGGCTTTGGGCATCTCTTGGGTTCTCAGCATGTGGTGGTATGTGGCATAGTGATGATGGGGAGCGTGGTGTGGGTGGGTCTGGCAAACCATGCTGAAGGACAGATGACCTGTTCTGGGTTATCGTGGAGGGAGTGTCCCTCAGTAATGGGAAAATGGGCGTAGAGGTGTGCAGCAGGGGAGGGAAGCAGAGAAGGGGTGTTTTTGGCTGTGGCGTGGGCTCCAGCAAGCTGTATCTGCCTCAGTAAGGCCAGTCCTGAGGTCCCTCCATGCACTGCTGCTCCCCAGCTGCTCAGGGGTCTCTTTTTTTAATTAAATACATTTGTTTTGTAAAATGGCCTAAAAATAATCCGGGACTGGTGCATGCAGGAGGCTGGCGGTGAATCAAAGGCGTCGCTCTAATTAAACGGGCCCCGGTTTGTTTGTGAGCCGCATACATTTCCATGCTAATCAGCTGCACAACAGGATCTGGCTTTCCCAGCTCCTGATTGGGAACGTTGCAAATGGGGAGGGGGATTGGGAAGACAAGGCAGTGATTGGGACGAGATGTGGGTTTTTTTGGGGGGGGATGGGAGGAGAGAGGGTTCTCCACAGCCCATCCGCTTGGGTTGGTGTTAGCCGGATATGTACATCTCACCTGTGGCTTGTGTGTGGTCCTGCTGCTGCTGGGGGAGTGCTGAGGTGATGATAGGGTCTGGGCTGCTTTGCCATGCTCAGTGGCCACAGCTTGTCGCCTCCAGTAAGGGATGGGGGGGCAGCATCCCAATAATGGGGCACTTTCCCCACCCAGGCAGAGGTGAAGGGTGCGTGGGTCTGTGCTTATTCCTTGCTCTCTCCTGCAGATCCTGGTGGACTTGCCGGCTGACAGGAAGCACCAAACGCTGCAGTATGAGAACGTGGTGGCCCATGAAGGCAGCTCCATCCTGCGGGACCTGGTGCTGAGCCCTGACCGCCAGCACCTCTACGCCATGACTGAGAAGCAGGTAAGAGGTGGGGGCTGCAGCCCCCAAAGCCACGCCGCTGCCACATGCTGTGTCACTTGTCTTCCCCCCTCTCTGTTCCCTGCTGGTGGCATCCCTGCTCTGTTCCGTGCTGGTGGCATCCCTCAGATGCACTGTTGTCTTTGTTGCTTTTGCCCTGATGTCCAATCTGCACTTTCCTTCTTCATCCTTTGATGTCTCACTGGGGACAACCCCCTGCCCGACAGACACTTGCCTACTCACCCTAATGGCTGGGAAGGGCAGATGACATGCTCTCCAGGCTCTGGCCCCAGCTGCCACCAGAGCTGCCCAGCTACCTCTGTCCTGCCTCAATCATACCACCTGGGAACACTCAGCTCCTCCCTACTCCCCCTTGTACAAAAACACCACCTCAGGGCACATCTCCCAGACATGGCCCTTCTGTTCCTCTCCTCCCTGTGGTCCCTGCCCCGGGCATTAATTGTTAGTAGCAGCTGCTCGAAATCCCTGTGCCCCAAGGAGCAAGGACTGCTGTGAGAGCTGGCATCCCTGCTTGTGGGGCTGTGAACCTCCACCCTGCCCTCAGGCTCTGCAGGTGAGCAGAAGCTCCTTGCTCTGAGCAGCCTGTTCTCTCTGGAATAGCTGCTTTTGCACCCTGGGGCAAGGGGAGCCATTGGCTGGAGCTGGTACAGCTGATATGTCCCCAAACTTCCATGTGTGCACCTCTGTGCCTACTGCTGCCATCCCCAGTTCAGAGCTATCCAAAGCAACAAATCTAACTCGGGCATGGGCATGCAGCTGTCATCCTGAAAGCGTGGTTGGTGCTCACGATAAGAAGTTTTAGTTGGCTGTGAGAGAGTTTGCATGCTCCTGGGCTTGCTGGAGAGCCTGCTGCTACAAGTTAATCCATCAAAGGGCTGCCAGCACGGGTGAGGTCCCCGCTGCGTCAGGGCTTTGTGCCGAGCAGCAGTGGCACTTTTTGGAGCTGTCGGGCTCCTGTGTGGTCACAGCCTCGTAGCCTGGCCTTGTCTCCTCCCCATATCCAGCCTGGGTGGCAGAGGAGGAGAGAGTCCAGCCCAGGGGTGGCAACTCTGTGCTCCTCCCTGATGAGAAGGAGATCAAGGGGCTGTTTTTTTCCCTGAAAACCAATTCTGTGCTGGTATCTCAGCCCCAGCTCCTCCTCAACTTCTCTTTGGGAAGCTTTTCTGCGGGCAGAGCGTTCTCAGCCAGGGTTATCTCAGGAATGTCTCAGGAGTTTGGAGTTGTGCTGGGCGCTGCCTGATGGGAAGAGGTGCGCATGGGTGGGAGTGCTGCAGAACTCCTGGCCACTGGCCCGGGGCTTTGGAAGGGGAAAGGATGCTGGAGCAGGGCCTTGCATTTGTCTAGACAGCCCCACGGGGATGGCAGAACCTTTTCCCCCCTCCTCCCAGTTCCTGTCTCTGGTTTCTGGTCTGCTGCAGGAAACCTGAGGCTTTCCAGGTGAGGCAGAAATTGTGGGCTGCAAAATTCAAAACAAGGGCAGTGCCACACCACAGCTCGCAGCGGAAGTCTCCCAGTGCTGTGCCCATTGCTCTCTCCACCCTCTGTCTTCCTCACCGTGGAGCATCACAGCTTTCCCTCCCTTTGACAGGAGCTCCTGGGATTGAGGCTGTGTTTCTGGGTTCTGGAGAGGAGGGGAGACTGGGGAAGCAGAGGAGGGGAGGAGCTTCCCAAGCCTCCATCCTGTCCCCCCCACTTCTCCTTCCCACTCCTTAATAAAAGCTTCTCTCTTCCCTACTGCAGCTTGGTGTTATCAGAGTGCTGGTGGAAAGTAATTAAATGAACAGTTGTAACAGAGCTCGAAGGGCTCGGAGAATGAGGGGATTTTAATCAAATCTGGAGGAGCAATTAATAAAGGAGTGGTAACCCTTTCGGAGCAGGACTACCAGCTGCAGGGGTGTGTGGGAGGCATTGGAAGCTGTGGTGTCAGGGCTGAGCTATTCCCCAAACTCTGCAAAGATGAAGGTTTCCTCATTCTGGCATTGCTGGGCTGGCCAGGAGATGGTGGTGGTTGTTCTTGTAGAGTTCCCAGACTCAGAACTGTGATGTCCAGGGCATTTCCCAATGGGAAGCCATGGGGTGGTGGATCCATTCCCTTTGAGTCCTTGGTTTCCTAGCTGTTCCCTTGGGCACCCCTTCACTGCCTTTTCCCACAGGTGACGCGGGTGCCGGTAGAGAGCTGTGAGCAATACGAGAGCTGTGAGCTGTGCCTGGGCTCCCGGGACCCCCACTGTGGCTGGTGTGTCCTCCACAATGTGTAAGTACCAGGGCTGGCGCTGCGGCCACGGAGCTTTGCCGACTGCATCCTTCCCACTGCTGTCCTGCCCCTCATACCCAGCTATGGGGAATGGAGCCTCTGCTGTTTCAGTTCTGGCGAGGCTGTGCCTTGAACACTGTGTTCAGCTGTAGGACCTTCGCTGCAAGACATTGAGGTGCTGAAGAGTGTTCAGAGAAGGGCAACAAAGCTGTGAAGGGTTTTATGAGGAGCAGCTGAGGGAACTGGGATTGCTCAGACTGGAGCAGAGGAGGCTCAGGGGAGACCTCATTGCTCTCTACAAGTGCCTGAAAGGAGGCTGTGGTGAGGTGAGGGTTGGCCTCTTCTCCCAAGTAACAGCAATAAGATGATAGGATAAGTTGTGCCCAGTGAGGTTCAGGTTGGATATTAGGAAACATTTCTTCTCAGGAGAGGTGAGGTACTGGCACAGGATGCCCAGGGAGGTGGTGGGGTCACCATCTGAAGGTGTTCAAGAACTGTGAAGGTGTGACACTAGAGGAACATGGTCAGTGGGAATGGTGGGAATGGATTGATAGTTGTACTAGATGGTCTTAAAGGTCTTTTCCAACCTTAATGTTTCTGTGATTTTATGACAGGACTGTAAGACGTGTGCGTTGTTCACTTTCTCTCTCCATTTTGCCTAGCATTTAATTAAAACACTTCCCATAATGAAATAATGTTGTTGCAGAAAGCGTGGAGAGCAGCGGGGAGGGAGTCATCTGCTCCGTAAAGGAGGTGATGGAGCATTGCAGGCTGCTCTGTAGGGGTTGGGGAGCTGCGTGTGTTTGACAGGGATGCTGCAACAGAAGAGGAGAGGGATGTGAGCATGGCTGCGCTGTAGCAGAGGTGCTGGCACAAAGGGAAAGCGGAGCTTCTGTTCTGACCTCAGGCACCGGAGGCCCATTGCTGGGCACCTCATCCCCCCATTGGGTATTTCTCAGCTTCTCCTCCTCACTGTGGTGATTTCATCCCCCCAGATGCTCACGCAAGGACCGCTGCGAACGCGCAGATGAGCCCCAGCGTTTTGCCTCCGAGCTGCGGCAGTGCGTGCAGCTCACCGTGCAGCCCAGGAACATCTCAGTCACCATGTCGGAGGTCCCGGTAAGTCCTCAGGGCTGGGAAGGCAGCGATTAAGTTAAATAACGAGCGACTGATAGGGAGAAACGAGAAGAGAGATCTGATACAAATAAAATGTAGGGGATTGATGAGGGCCGGCCTGTTGCTGGATGCAGATAATAAAACTGTTGATTACTATTCAGAAAAGATGGAACCAAGCAATAAATGTTTCTCCACAGTATAAATAACAACATCAGATTTGCCATTTGTAGGCCAGAGATCCATCTAGCTCAATATCCTGTCTGACAGCGGCCAGTAGTAGATATTTTGGGATGTGACTTAGATGCACAGCTCACTGCTCTGTCTGTGCAGACAGAAAGGATGATGTACTTCCATGAAGTATTTTCCAGGCCATTAGCACTGTAAAGAGAATGCAAAACAGCGTATACTAGCAATAAACTTTTGCAAGCTGCCAGGTCTGGATGTCTGGCACTCAGGAGTCCTGAAGGAGTTGGCCTAAGAGTTCCTTGGCTTGCAGATTGAGCTTTGTAATAAAGAAGTGGATGTTGAGAAAAGTCCAGCAAGCAGAAAAGACTCTTGTTGGAAGGGCACGTGGGATGACCCAAGTGGCTCAAGATTGCTTAGTTTGACATCAAGCTGAGAAAAGCTAGTGGAAAAAAATGAGGCAGGATACAACTGATGGAGAATCAAGGATGGGAATATAATTAATGCTAGTCAATGTAGTTTTGTGTCAAACAAACCACATTTTGTTCTTTGATGAAATTATGACTTGAATTAGAAGAGGGACTGCAGGGATGTGATGTCTCTAGACTTCTACAAGGCATTTGACTCGGTACAACACAACATTCTGATTAAAAATTAGCATTATACAATATTGATAAAGCATGTGTTAAGTGGATTAAGAGCTGGCTCCGTGACAGATCTCAAAAAGTCATTGTCAGAGGGGAATTGTCACTGAATGGAAACATTTTGAAAGTGCTTCTGCAGGGATTGGAGTGCAGCTTTGGCTTTTCATCGGTAATGTGGAAACAAACGCGGAATTGCAGCTGATGAGATCTGCAGAGGATGCTGAGACCAACGGAGTGGCGTGTTATGGGGTGCTGGGGAGATCCCCACGGGGTTTGTGCTAGCTCAGTGGGGAAAGTGGATTTGATACTGCCAGGTCTGGACTTTGAGGAGTAAGGCTGGCTTTTGAGAGATGTCCTGGGAAGTGGTGATATTGGAAAAGATCCCAGTGCGCTGATGCCAGGAAGGGCTGCTGGTGCTCCCTGGGCATTGCTGGGAGGAATTTGTTGCTCTCTCTGGGGCTATTTCTGTGCCTGCTAGCTGCCTGTACCGTGGGGTCTGCTGTGATTAGTGCTGGGATGCAGCACTCGGCCGGAGACAGCTGCTTAAAGGAGGCTGAGCACCTTCAGTAAACAGCATGTAAATGAGTTGGGGCTGAAGAAAATGCCTTCCAGTGAGAGACTTCCCGAGCTCAATCTGCTTAGCTTATCAAAAAGGAGATTAAGAGGTGACTTGATTACAGAGTATAAGTGCCTTTACGAGGAGCAAATATCAGGGACTAAAGGGCTTTTTAATCTATCAAGGAAAGGCATAACAAGAACTAATGGCTGGAAGCTGAGAAAAATTCAAATTAGAAATAAGGCAAGCGTTTTGTAAAGTGAGAACTGCTGACCCCTGCAATGAATTTGCAGAGAAAAGGGTGAATTCCTTCCCTCTTGATGTCTGCAGAAGTAGATGCTTTTCTGTAAAGCATTCTTTAGCCAAACACTGGGCTTGGTCTCTGCAGAGAGGTGAGACATAATGGTTTGTGGTGCAGCAGAGGGCAAAGGATGTGATGCATTCAGGATTCTAAGCCATTTGCATCTGCATGGGGTCCTGCATGGGGACCATGTGTGTGGACCGGGGAGAGGTGTTGCACCCCTGGTTTTCCTGTTGGCTGTTTGCACACAGCAGACACAAAAGAGTCATTTTGTTAGCTTCCTAAGGCCGTGCTCCATGTTCTCTCCCCCAGCTGGTCCTGCAGGCCTGGAACGTCCCCGACCTCTCGGCGGGAGTCAACTGCTCCTTTGAAGACTTCACTGAGTCCGAGAGCCGCATAGAAGATGGGAAGATCTACTGCAGCTCTCCATCTGCCAGGGACGTCATTCCCATCACCAGGGGCCGTGGTGAGCTTGTGTCCTTTGTCTTGGCTTTGCCCCATAGGCAGACGCTGAGGAGAACAGTCCTGTGACAGTGATCCCCAGCCCCAAGCAGGGTGGAAATGGGTTCTTGGGGTGCTGGAGTAAAGGGACATTGCTGCTTCTCCAGGAGTGGTGCTTTGATGTCCTTGCTCTTTTCCAAGCCGTGGGTGCAGCTACATGCTGACACAGTAATGTTCAGTGCAGCAGTCCTGCAAAGCCTGTACATGCCAGCCTCATTCCAAACCTGTGGACAATTTCTGTAGATGTCTATGGACACTGCTGGCCATGGAACTGTTAAACTCTCCTTCAGTGCCACTCTCATATCCCAGGGCAGGCATCTGTCCCTGTGCTGTAGTTGGCTAAAGGGGCTTGATGCTGCTGGGCCCTGCTGGCCCACTTAGTGGCTGGGCGGATATGGATGGGCACTTTTCCTTTTATTTCTAGATTTGGGATTTTGTTAATTAACAAGAGTGGATATTGTTGCCCAGATTCTTCCAATCCATCACAAGCCGTGTGCTGAACACATGCCCTGGTGTTCATTTCACTGTGTCATTTCTGATGCCTTCTTCTGCCTTGTTCTCTCTCAGGAGATAAGCGGGTGGTGAAACTCTACCTGAAATCTAAGGAGACTGGGAAAAAGTTCGCCTCTGTGGATTTTGTTTTCTATAACTGCAGCGTCCATCAATCGTAAGTGGTCTGGGCTTCGTCAGTGTGCTCTGGGAGCAGATGGGCTGGGCAGTGTGAGACTTGATCAGAGAGATATCCATTTGTGGGTGCTGATGTTGCAAGCAGAAAGGAAGGTTGAGCACAGCAGTATTGGCAGCGAGAAACCTCTTTTTGAAAACCGGGGCAGTGACCAGAGAGCTCACAGTTGGTTTGGATGTGTGGGAACATGCAGAACCAGGGCAGAACCTCACTTAAGAACAGGGCTTTCGGTTGGAAAAAGCTTTGGAAGAAAAAGCAAATTTACTGCATTGCAGACTGGAGCAGTCCATGTGACTGAAAATGCCAAGCATCTTGTTATTCCTGGAAACAGTTAATAGGAGTGAGTTGGCTAGGCAAAAGGAGAGCCTGTGTTTTCCTGTGACAGTACCTGCTTCCCAGGCTTGCTGGAGGGAGGGCTGGAAAGTTACAGCAACACTGAATGGAACATGCTGCATGTCGTGGGGCAGTTACCCAAGAATTTCCTCAGTGGAAGTAATTGTGAATTTGCTTTCTTGTCAGGCTGCCTTGAAATCTACTCTAAGCGTGGGTCTTTAGGCAGTTTGAGATATGCATGTGATAAAATAGAGGAGGTGGGGATTATTGATGTGCTGTCTAAGCACAGTGTACAAGTCTACCAGGCAGCTGCTGATGAGGTGCTGAGGACACTGTGCTCGAACTGCAGGCAGAGCGTCGGGGAAGATGCTGGGGTGTGTTTGGGCAGAGAATTTGGAGCTGGAGAATGCGAGCGATTTCATTCTGCTGCCAGAAGCCTCCCACGGATGGTGGTGCTCAGACTGATCAGTAATTACAGATAAGCAAATGAGGAGTGATCTCTTTGGGGCAGCCTTTTTTGTGAAAGATCTAGTCTGGCTTAGGGGGTTCCACTGCTGATGGCTCTTTCCAAGCATGCTCAGCGAGCAGGCTGCATTTTGCTTTTTGATCAGGGAGAAGCAGGTGAGCTGCAGGCACTCCGTTGTGCCGGCTGCTCCAAAGGGAATGAGTCAGAGGACCTCTGCTTGTGCTCCTGCTGAGGAGCAGCATGCTGCTGAAAAGCTCAGGGTGTGGAGGCAGAGAGCAAAACAGAAAGGGCCAACGAGCAGCCGGCCATTCAAACCTCCTGCATCACAGCCCTGGGTGCTGGGAGAGGGGCTGTGCTTGGGGAGTGCTGCAGCAGTGAGCGGGCAGCCTGCAGACTTGACTTTCTCCCTCACCTTGACTCACGAGATGAGCTTTGTCTCCCTTCACGTCTTGTGGTTTCAATAACATTAGCTCAGCTTTGGCTCAGGATGGCTGCATGTCATTATTTTGCAAATCAAAAAGCAGATGTGACTTTTATTTTTCTAAATGAAAGCAACAAGACTTTTCAGTAGGAAGAGGATCAGATTGGTCCAATTGGGGCCACAACATTTTGGTCCAGTGGGAAAAGCTGGCGAGGGAATTGGCATTTCTTTTTATGTGCCTTATATAGCAGCAAAAGAACCCCCCTTCCCCAACAAACCTACAACAAAGAGGCCTGACTGATTTATTACTGCGTTGATGTTTAATTTTGGGTGCATTATTTAAAAAGGCTAATTATGGATGCATTAATATTTATGGGCTTCGGTTGGAGCTGATAGAATAGTCCGTGTTCTAGGCTGGTGAACATTATTATTATTTTCTTTACATCAAGAATTTTAGGGTTTGGAGGCAGTTTTAACTGTGTGACCCGCAGTCAGATCATAACCAAAGAACATGACAATATCCAGGGTGATGCAATACTTTTAAATACCATTTGCAGACAGGCGTCTTTAATGGATCTCTCTGGAGTTAATAGCCTTTCGGATCCAGGTTTCATATTTTGTGGAGGAAAATCTATAAGTCAGCTTGATATATTCTGCATTGGGAACAATATGCTTTTCCATGAGGCTAATGTTTTTTTTTCTGTGGAGTTCTCTGATTGCCATACATTATGTTTTCCTTTTTTTTTTTTTTCTTTCTATTTATTTGGTCGGCTTTGGTTGGGTTGGGAGCCAGAGGCCTGAGTGTTAAATCATTTCTCAGCTACAGATAAAGTGTTTGGACTGGTAGAGGCCCTGGGCTGCCTTCCAGGGACAGCCCTTTGTGTCACTTGCTATGAGGGGACTGTCCCCAGCACCCTGCAGCATCGCCCACGCCGGTCCCATTCCTCAGACCAGCCAACGACAGCAGTAGACATGGGCTGCACTCAGTGCACCTTGCCCTTTTGCAAGCTTGGTTTACTTTTTGTTTCACTTTGGAAGAAGGAACCGAGCAGAAAAGTCCTGAGTGTTTGTTCCAAGCTCCTTGCCATAATGTTTCAGTCCTGCAGGCTTTCGTTGGTTGCCCCTTCTTGCACTGATTTGCCTTGTCTAAAGTGCTAGATGCAGACTAAGATTCTCAACTTCTATGTGTGGTTTTTAGAGGGCATGCAGGTTCTGTGCCGGATTACAGGATGCTTTAAAGTGGATGCTGGCATCCCTTGAAAATTTTGTCACCAGCTTCTTTAGCAAGGAGGTGTGATTTCTCAAATATCATCAAGTGTGGCAGTCACAGCAGTAAGGTGAAGCCCCTGGTGCCTGGAAAAAAGGCAGTGTTGTACCCATTGTCAGAAGGGTAGAAACAACCCAGGAAACTACCAGCCTGCCAGCCTCACCTCTGTGCTGGGGAAGATCCAACAGCAGATCCTCCTGGAAGCTATGCTGAGGCACATGGAAGAGAAGGAGGTGTTATGGGAAAACCAGCATGGCTTCTCCAAGGGCAGATCCTGCCTGACCAATCTGGTGGCCTTCTGTGATGGTGTAACTGTACCAGTGGACAAAGGAAGAGCTGTCGATGTCATCTATCCAAACTTCAGTAAGGCTTTTGTGACACGGTCCGCCTATAACATTCTTCTCTCCAAATTGGATTTGATGGGTGGACTGCTCAGTGGATGAGGAACTGGTGGTATGCTCGTACCCAGAGAGTGGTGGTCAGTGACTGCATGCAGATCTGTGACAAGTGGTATCCCTCAGGGGTCAGTACTGGGACGAGTGTCAGTGATACCGAAGGATTGAGTGCACCCTCAGCAAGTTTGCTATGTGTCTGGTTGATGTGCCCAAGGGGTGGGATGCCGTTCAGAGAGACTTAGGCTGAGCAACAGGAGCAGGGGAACCTCGTGAGGTTCAACAAAACCAAGTGCAAGGTGTTGCACCTGGGTTGTGGCTTCTGCTGCTGTCAGAACAAACTGCAGGATGTAAGGAAGGAACACAGCCCTGCCAAAAAGGACCTAGAGATACTGGTGGGTGACAGCTGGTCATGAGCCAGCACTGTGCCCTCACAGCCCAGAAAGCCAACTGTGTTCTGGGCTGCGTTCCAAAGCAGGGTGGCCGGAAGGTCAGGGAAGTGATCCTGCTCCTCTGCTCTGTGCTGTGAGACCTCACCTGGAGGTCTCACAGTGTGCTCATCCAGGTCTCACTGGAGTGCTGCATCCAGATGTGGAATCCTCAGTACAGGAGAGACATGGGCCTGCTGGTGTGCATCCAGGGGAGAGCCACAAAAATGCTCCATGGGATGGAACACCTGCCTACAAGGACAGGCTGAGAGAACTGGGGCTGTGCAGCCTGGAAGAGAGAAGGCTCTAGGGAGACCTGAGGACGGCCTTTCAGTATCTAGATGGGGGCTGTAAGAAAGAAGGGGACAGGCTCTTTAGCAGGGTCTGCTGTGACTGTAAATAGGGTAGGAACATGGAAAAGGGTGTGTAGGGGATTCATGTGCTGTGAAGCAGCCCTGGGCTGGAAGGCACAGCTGCACCAGAGCTGCTCCAGTAAATTCGCACCACTTTTCAAAGACACCTTGCAGCAGAGCCTTGCTTCCAGCTTTGCAGGATTAGAAGGGTGAGTAGGTAGGCAGAGCTTGCTGTGATTGAAAAATGATCAGGGTTTGTTTGTGGTGAAAACAAATCACTTCCCCGTGAGAGTGGAGAGGATGAGCCTTGTGCCTGGCTCATGCTGCAGCCTGTAGAAAGGCAAGGATGCTGGGAAGGGAGTTTCACTGTATGACCTTTAAAGGTCCCTTCCAACTCATGATTTTGTGATCCTGTATGTGTGGTTCAGGGGTATTGGCTGGGCAAGGTTGGGAGCTCCTGACTTTGTTAGCAAGGGTCTGTTTGCTAAGGGCATGAAGCAGAGCTGGGCCCAAATGCCATGCGTTGCTCTCATAGACTCACCTCATGGGTGTGTTCCCTTGGGAGCCTCCAATGGGGCACTGATCAGGCAAACACGTTTGAAGACCTTTGGGTGCTTTGATAGTCTGATGAATCTGCCTGTGTCCAGAGAGCTGTGTGCAGATGCTGAGGTCATCTTTCTAAGCATTACTCTTCCACTTCAAAGCATTCCCTGGGAAATGAGTTCCCTTTAAAGATAAAGATGTGATGTCGGGCTCTATGGTGAGGGGGAAATCCCTCTGCGATGCTCACAGAGAGGGGAATTCCTTGGGATGTGGAATGGGGGCCAGAGGGCACTCCTTGCCCAGCCCTCTGCCTGCAGAAACCAGCTGTTTCCAGGGACAACCAACAGGTATGTGTTCCTTCTGCATCCATGTTTGCTGTCTGGATTTCCTTTCTGGAAACCAGGGGCTGTGATACCAAGAAGGGAGCCAGGCAGACTGGGAACTGGTGCCTGTGCGGTGCTTGCGTTCTATGTGCTTATGCTGATGGCACTGACCTCGTGGCTATGCACTGCTGCAGCTGTGACCCCTGTGTTGATGAACATTGTGAGGGTGCATAAGAGCTCCAGGAATGGTCTGATTGTGCTGAGCAGCCCCAGCTCCTCCTGTGGGCCGGCTGGGAGCTGCCTGCTACACAGCTTCTGCTCTGCAACCCAGAGCTGCATTTCCAGATGCTTACAGATGCTTCTCAAAGGCACGGCCAGATGGCTGCGAGCAGTTAAGGAAGTGTATTTTTGTGCTTTACCACTCATGAACTGCGAGGCAGTCACTGATCTGGGTGTAGGATGGCACTGTCCTCTGCTTCGGATCACATTTGTTAGGTCACGTTTGCGCCTGTGTCCTTTGGCTGGCACAAAGGGAAGGGCAGAAACGTGATGTCCAAAGATGTGCTGTCCCTCTGCTGCTCTTTGTGGGGAAGGATTTTTGCAAGCAGGCAGCAAGCCCAGGCTTGTCCTGGGATGGGGAATCTGCAGAGTGATCTGGAATTCCTGGAGAGGCTGCACGAGAGCGTCAGCACAGCCGAGGCCATGACCTGCTTTCCTGCCCTCTTCTCTGCCTTCAGTTCTGCCTGGCCCCTGCGTGGGCTCAGAGGAGCATTGGGGAGTGAGCTGAGGCTCGGTGTCTGTGCTGCATCCTCAGCATCAGCGTTCTGTCTTGCTTCGAGGAAGGGGGGCTTCGCATGCAGGAGAAACTCCCTCTAATTATCAGGAGTGATGAAAGCCTCTTAGGCAAAAAGTGATGAGGGAAAAGTGCCTGACCGTGGGAAGGAGAGAGACAGCACAGATGGCATCGTGCTGCCAAGCAACCTGCTCCTGTGTGGGAAACAGACAGCAGTGACAAATGGACGTGCTGGGGATGCAACCCGGGCCCCTCCGTGCAGCGCGACCTTGGGCAGCCATGGGCATGGAGCCGTGCCTGTCCCACAGCAGCACACCCAGCCTCATACCAGCAAGTTGCTCACCTTGCTTAGAAGAGGTCTTGGGCTTCAGTTGCTGCTCAGCTCCTTGTAGGACTGCTGGGTTAGGGTTAGCAGAGAGTTGGGAATCATAGCGAGGTGCCCAGGGTGACAGAGTAGAACAGGATCAAAGAATGAATGGTTTGGGGTGGAAGGGACCTTGAACATCATCCAGTTCCAGCCCCAAGCAGTGGGCATGGACATCTCCTACTGGACCAGGGTGGGCTGGAATTGGGGTTTAGCCATGCTCCTGGTACCAAGTGCTTTGCAGAAGCTTTGGCTGATGGGTTGTGCTCTGTGCAGGCTGTACATACAGCAAAGATGCTGTGTGGTGAGGTGTATGAGGTGAACTTGCTGACAGTGGCTCTTGATGTCCTTAGGTGAATGGAAAGATGAGGTAGGGTGTGAGAATTGTCTGCAAGGATGTGGGCTTTAAAGGCAGAGCTGGGTATCAGGAGTGAGCTTGGAAGAGGAGGTTCTGTGTGGTATGTCTTCACAGGATGCCATGGCTGTAGGAGCATCCATGTCCATTAACAAGTGAGGGGGGCAGGGCAGCAGGTGGTGTGCACTAAGGTCAAATGGCAGAGGAGAGCTCTGGCTGGCACGTGATGTGCCCTTGCCCTGGCAGAACAGGGCTGGGCCAGGCTTTTTACCTAGGATCTGTGGGGTGCCTCACACAGAACAGACCCTATGGCTAGAAACCCCCCTGCTGCCTGTACCTCCTCCTCTTCTGAATAGCCTCTCAGTGCCTGCTGTGCTTCCACCAGGGTTAACCCCTGCGTTCCCTCCCTCACTGCCTCCACTCCTGCATTTCCCTGCCCACCAGCCATGGGGGGTGAGGGCAGGAGCGATCCCTGTGCTTTATGTGTGCTCCCACCCTGTGCACCCCCATCCATCAAAGCAGCCAGAGCTGGGAGGCCACGGCTGTGCTTTTAAGTCGAATCTCTGCAGCTGAAATAAAAATCGCATATATTTGCATAAGGAGCATCTCAATTAGCATATTTGTGGGTAAAGCTAAAAGGGCTGTTCATTTGGAAGTGAAAATGTGAGCGAAACATGGAAATGACTTCCAGCCCCCTTTGCAAGCAGCTTAATTAAATATTTCCTTAGTGTGTGCGTGTGGATTTAGGAAGGTATCGCTGTACATGCAGTGGGGTGTGAAACCCCCAGGCAAGGAGCCGCGGCCCTACATGGTGTGCAAAGTGTGCATTCAGGCACTGACACCGCTGCCCAGAATGGTTGTGGGTACCCCATCCCTGGGGATGTTTTGAGACCAGGTTGGAGGTAACCTGAGCTGGTGTCTGATCTAATGGTCAGCAGCCCTGCCCATGGCAGGGGGGTGGAACTACACGGTCTTTGAAGTCACTTCCAACCAAAGCCGGTCTATGATTCTATAAGATGGGGAGGGGGAGAGAAGCTTATTGCTGCTGCTTAGCCCCCAGGCAGATGCAGATGCCCTTTGTTGTATTTACCTAATGCTGCTTTCTCTGCTCTCTCTGCAGCTGCCTGTCCTGTGTGAATGGCTCCTTCCCCTGCCACTGGTGCAAGTACCGCCACATCTGCACCCACAACGCCGCCGACTGCTCCTTCCTGGAGGGACGGGTCAAGCTCTCTGAGGTAAGGCAGTGTGAGCCAGCTCTGCTCTGCTCTCCCTGGCCTGCAGGGAAGGGTTTACCAGATGAAAAGCCTTTGAAACCGTGTGCAAGCTGTGTCTGGAGTGCTGGGCTTGTCTGGGAAGCAAGGAGGGAGTGTGGGGGAAGGGCTGTGTGAGCTGAGCAGTGCCGGTGCAGGGGCTGCTTGGGAATCCGGGCTAAGTCAGGAAGCACTGTAGGCTGAACCAAGACAGAAACAAAGGCAGAGACTCTTAAGCATTTCCTTTGATGTTTTTGAAGGGAGCAAGCTTGAACTGTCACTGCAGAACAACTTGTTTTCAGAGAGAGGAAGGCTTAAAGCCATAAAACAAACCATTTCGCTGCACCTCACACGTTCTTCATCTGTAATACTTTACTAAGAAGCATGTTTTGTGGGGCCTTATCCTGTGGGATCCATGCCACCAGCTAGGGAAATCCATCACTCACAGGGCATCTGCAGGAGAGCCGTGCTTCTGCACCCTGCCCACATCGCAGTTTGAGTTGTGAAGGGAGAATCCTGTGCCTGGAAGGTAGCTGTGGTGATCTGTCTCTTGTAATTTGTACCTTGTGTGGTCTCCCTCCATACTCAAGCTGTTGGGTCCCCTTTGGTTCAGGTTGTCATCCTCTCTCTGTCCCTGTGCCTCAGTACTGGGCTTGGGGCATGCATAGAGTTAGATGGAGCTGTCTGTAGCTGTGGTGCCCTTAGCCTTATTACTCACTTCCCTCTTGCTTTGTCTGTCTCCCTCCTGCTTTCCTGGCTGCTCCAAGCTCCTCACTGGTGCAGGTCAAACTCCCAGCAGGGAACAATCAATTTTTTCCCTTCTTCCTGCCTCCCTCTTCCATCACTTGAGAAGCTCGAGCCTTCCAGTGGGGGTTGGGCCATTACTTAGCCAGAGCCGCTCCACCAGCAGCGTGATGGCTCTTGTACTGGGGACAGGATGGATGAAGCAGCACCTTTACACGTCTTCCTTCCAGCAGTTGAAGGAATAGGCAGGAGGGGAACCAAATTGTTCCACAGTCTGATAGTGATATTACAAGGAGGAATGGCTATAAACTAAATGAGAGGAGTTTTACGTCAGAGGTTAGGAAGAAATTCTGTACTCAGGGAGGTGAGGCACTGCCCACAGTTGTGGGTGCTCCACTCCTGAAGATGTTCAAGGCCAGGTTAGATGGGGCCCCTGGCAGCCAGCTCACAGCAGAGGGGTTGGAATGAGATGATCTTAAAGCTCCCTTCCATCTAAGCCATTCTTTTGTAGTATGATTCTTCCCTGTTCACTGTGGAAAGCCAGGGCTCCTGGTTTTACTGCTTCTCCATGAGGAGCTGCTGGATCTTCAGGGGACATTTAGGGTTTGTAGCCTGCAAGCAGATGTGCTTGGATCTCTACTTGGGGTCTCCAAGTTGTGCACCTCTGTGGTGTTCGGGACTGAAGGGTGTGGATGGCCAGCCAGAGTTTGGAGGCACATCTGTATGGGGCTGTGCTGGATCTCATCGGCATCATTACTGTGAGCATGGAGCTGAGCAAAGCCTGCTCACAGCCAAGTGCATCTGGAGAGCTGGAAAAGCCCAAGCATTGCTCTCGCGTGTGGGTAGGTGGGGTTGGCACTTGCTATTTCAGCACAGCAACAGGAAATGAGATGCTGCTCATCACCCAACCAGGGTGTCGTTGCATGGGATGTGCTGTGGCCCCACCAACAGTACTTTGCATGCTTGTCCCCTTGGAATTCCCTAAATGAGAGAACAGCGATGGCTTTCTGCTGGCCCTTCCATCACAAATGACCAAATTCCACGTTTTGGCACCTTCTCTGCCGCTATGGTTCGAGCACAAGGAGGCTGCATCTTGCTTGTTGATGCTCAAGCGTGTGCCACACAAAATGCATCACGCATAGGCCATAACCAGCCCAGCTCAGCGACCCACACAAAGGGGAATTATGTAATATGAGAAGATTAGAAAAAGCTGTTATCTCCCAGCTTGTGCCCTGAAGAAATCTGGCGAGGGTTCAGCCTGTCCTTGAGGTCGCCTTCCCAGCCAGCTCTGTGCTTCTGCAAACAGGATGCTCAGCGCTGGCTGTTCCCAGCAGCTCTGGTGTGTGTGGTGGTGGGCAGCTTCTGGGACTCTTCCCCCATCCCCTTCCAGGCAAACCAGTAATATCCCCCTCATGTTGTCTTTGGGACGCATGCACCTTTCCCAGGGGACAGCAGTTGTGCCACTTCCGGACGTAGGCAGGCTGTGCCCCCGCAGACCTCTTGGTCACCCCAGGCTCTGGAGCAGAGCCTGCCTTGAGGTTTGGAAAGCCTGGCTCTGCTTGTTTGCACTTTGGTGTGGCCTCAGCAGTTCCTGGCAGAGCACCCTCAGATTGGCCACAGCTGTGGGCTGTGTGTTGGTGCTGGGATCAGAAATCTGCCCTTTTCCTTGGGTAGGGGCGACCTGGTGCCAGACCGTGGCAATGCTGGACAAATTAAGAGCAGCTGTTCAGCCCGATGCTCTCTGTGGGAGGATGTGTGACTCTCGGTTATTTTAGGTAAGATCTTGTCTGTCTGCAGTTCATTTGGCAGGAGTGTGGTAGGTACTGGTCAGAAGAGGCGCAGAAGTCTGCCCACACCAGGGCTTAACTGAGCATCTGCTGCTTCCCACTGGCGCCTGTACTACAGTGGTGTCATTCATTTCTTTCTGGGTGTTGTGCAGGAAAAGGCAAACCAGTGCATTGCCTTGGGATGTTACACTGAAAGCGTGGGGTGCTTGGGCTCTGTTGTGGGATGTGGCAGGGAGGAGCTGGGTGCAGGTAGGAGCCACTCTGCATGTCCATGTGCCTGGAAATGGTAGCAGCAGGAGGGATGTCCCTGGCTTCTGTGGCTTTGAGTCCTCAGCTCTGGAGCCTTTGATTACTTCGCATTCCCGGAGATCCTCATTCTCTGTGGCTTTCTCTGGGGGTGAAGCAGTGGGAAGGGAAGGAGAATAATGCAGCACTGGCTGCTCTCCACTTGTCCCCACTTGCAGAGCACAGTGGTGGCTGGGGGTGTGAGCAGAAATGGAAAAGGAATGCTCCCTTCCCAAAACACTGTTCTCTGAGACATTCCCTGGTGTCTTCCAATGCACAGCTACCGTGTAGGGTGAAAGCCTTGCAGCATGTGGGGACCAAGTGTGTTTGTTGAGTCTGACCACGTCCTACTTGTGCTTGTTCCTCATTCCCTTGACTGGTGGAAATGGCTGAGACCTGGAAGACTTCTTGAGGGACCCTGAAAGCCTCCAAGGAAATGATGCTTTGACTTGGTTGGGAAGAAGTCTGACCCTCTGGGTACTGTGGCAGCTGGAGCAGAAGCAGTGTTGGTGAATAACTCATTCAGACCTTAGGTGACTAAGGAAGGTGGCACCCAAGATAGGTAGAGCATGTCCTGCCCTATAGCTGCCCCAGCTGTTGTCACTAGGGACTTGGGCAGGTTGAAGCCAGCCCCATCCTGCCTTCATCCCTGTATCTGGTGATACAGCTGTGCAGCTGGAGCTGGGAGTTGCCAGAGAAGCCCAAACTGCAGTGTTTGTAGCATGACTCTGCCTCTCAGCTCTCTAAGCAAACGTAGGCATCTTTGTGATGTTCTCATCCTGCTAGTAAAACAGCTTTAATAGGAGAAACTGAGTTGTGTAGTGTTTGGGAATGGTGGGAGAGGGCATCTTGCTTTGCTCTTCATCCCATAAGTTTGTACATCGTTTGAGAAGAGAGTCTGTTTTCTGCAGGAAAGCAAGCCATGGGGACTGGACAAAGCTTTTCCAAGGGCTTAAGTGATAGGCAGAGTTCCGTCAGCTGTTTGGATGACTTGTAGGGGAAGTGAGTTGTCCAAATGCCCCCACCCCTCCTGCCACCCCGGGAGCCAGGCAGCACTGCCCCAGCACCCACCAGCACCAGGTGCTTCCTGTTTGGGAGCCAGCTGAAATTTTTGCTGGATGAGACAGTGCTGGCAGCAGATGCAGAGCATGTGATGTCGCGGGGGGACTCGGCTCCGACTCAAACCACGAGTCAGCAAATCGGCCCCATGTTTATGCGTACATGGGGAGAGGGATGTCTGTGCCTGCTACCTTGGGTTTGCAGGGAGCCTAGGGTCTTGTAAACATCCATGGTGAGCCCAGTTGGGTGGATAAACTGTTTGCTGCCCAGGCTGGACCGAGAGCCATCAGTGATAATGGTAAAATGAGAAAGTGGCAGCACTGAGAGCAACCGTCACTGTGCTGAGGATCCCCAGCCTGGCCCTGCTTTCCTCTGTTTCTGCATGTTCTGGGAGCAGATAGGTTCTTCCCTTAAAAACTGTGCTTTTGGGGAGTACAGGCTTGAAAAGAGTGGGAAATTGGAAAAGCGAGATAAGTTGGAGTTTTCTGTTAATATTTGCTAAATTAAATGATTTTTAAAATCTCTCCACAGCATTTCGAAGTCAGGCTGATCGCAGCCTGTGGGATAAAGCCTGGAGCTGTATGGGGTCTGGCCCAGTACGGTGCCAGCGGCTGGGGCTGGAGCTGCCCTGCAGCAGCAGTTTCTGGTTTTAAATGAGTCCTTTCAACACACGGAATTCCCCCTCACTGTTATTTTGGGCCAGTGCTTCCAGGAGCCGAGACCCCCGGCAGGCTCTGCAAAGCCGGCGTGGGATTGCATCAGGCTGCTATTGCCCAAGTGGCATCCGTTGGGGATGCCGAGCTGTTTTGATGCCTGAGCTCATTTATTTTTGCTCCCTCCTGCTCCCCTGTGCTCTGTGCACACAGCTCCCCCGGAGCAGCTGGGCGCCAGCAGCTATTAAAAGCTGCATGGAGATCCCCAGGGAGTGGGGGGCTGTCAGGGAGAGCCTTCCTCACAGCTTGGACTCACTGGTGCCCCTCTGGAGCCGCTGGTTTTAGGCACCGGCCATCAGGCTGCCCTGATTAAGCTGCTTTGAGTTGGCCACAGAAATAGCAGAATTCAGTACGGCACCACAGAGTCATGTTGCAGAGGGACAAAAGGGGTAAAAGTCTTTTCTGTCTGTTCATGGACAAAGGGGATTGGAGGCCATGTGAAGCTGGAGAGTGCAACCTGACAGGGCACAGCCCAGAGAGCATTAACTCTGAAGCCTACTGACCTCATTGACGGCAGAAGAGCCCATCTTGTTGATGTGCCCAAACAGCAAGCTGATATGTTGCTGTCTCAGTCCCAGGTGCTATAGCTGATCCCCTCCTCACCTCCCACAGCCAGGATTAACCTGTAACGTGGAAAACACTTGGTTCACAGAATGACAGAATCACAGAGGTTGGAAGGAACCTCCAGAGATCAATGAGTCCAACCCCTCTGCCAAAGCAGGTTCCCTACACCAGGTTGCACAAGTAGGTGTCCAGGCGGGTCTTGAATATCTCCAAAGAAGGAAACTCCACAACCTCTCTGGGCAGCTTGTTCCAGTGTCCCCTGCCCCAATGTTCACTTCTGGTTTTCAGGGCTTTGAATTCATGAGGTGATGATGTGGTGTGCTCAGGGTGACCAGGCCTGGTTTCCTTGCAGTGCTCTGCCCTGCTTCATTGCTGCCCTTGCTCTCCTTGCAGGACTGCCCACAGATCCTGCCCTCCACCCAGATCTACATCCCAGTGGGAGTGGTGAAGCCCATCACCCTGACAGCCAAGAATCTACCACAGCCACAGTCAGGCCAGCGCAACTATGAGTGCATCTTTCACATCCCTGGCAGCACCACCCGTGTCACAGCTCTGCGCTTCAACAGCACCAGCATCCAGTGTCAGAACACCTCGGTGAGTGCTCCGTGGTGTGAGATCATGCAACATTTCTCTGCCCAGTGCATGCTTCATTTGCAGGCTGTTTGTTCTTGTCTGCTACATGGCCAGGTGTGCTTTCCCTGGGGCAGGTGATGGAGACTTTATGATGTGGGGGAGTTCCCAGCCTGTGCTCTCTGCTGCCCTGCATCCAGGTGCAAAGGGAGGATGCTGTGTGGGGTTGTTCCGGATGGGATCAATACTTCTGCTGCCCCAGGAGACTCACCAGGATTTGAGAGCACTTCCAAGGAAACTCACTTTTGAAAGCTGAGGAAAGTTGCCTGGGCCAGGGCCAGCTGGCCTGGTTGTGTCAGAGCCACGCTCCCCTCCCCTAAGCCTCCCTGACCTCAGAATCCAGCCAACACCTTCTTCATGTCCCGCTCTATGTTTATTCCTCCCACTTGTTCTGTCCCTAAGCGAGATGAGGTTTTGCAGCCGTGAGAGCATGCCCCTGCTGTGTGGCCATCCCACGTGTGGAGCATCAAGCCCCTGAGCAGACAGAGCTAGGGTATTAAATAGCTGTTCCCTTTGGGGAGATGGCACTGCTCAGCTGCATAACTGCCCCACTGGGCTCTGCACGAACATTACTTCATCTGCATGGAGCCAACCCCTCCCTTATCCCTCTGATTTAATCCTTTCAAAATTTGTTTTCCATCGCTCGTGCTGTGAAAGCTCATTTGCAACCTAACACCAGCACCAGTCCCTGCTCCCTCATCCTTCGGTGGCGCAGTGACATTTAGAAGCCGTTGGAGGAGCCTCCATGGGATGCAGTGTTAGGGCACAAGGAGCATCCTGAGCCCACTGCTGCTTACCCTGTGCAGTAATGCTGGGGCTGCTGTGCTACCGGAGCTCCTGTTGTGCCTCACACAGTTTGATAGGAGCAGAAACGCTCACTGTCCTGAGCTGCAGGTGAAAATGATACTAGTGGGTCTGGGTTGATGATGATCCTTTGCCACGCAGAGCTTTTCCCAGACACCATTTCAGCTGTCGTCAGAGACTGGGTACAGCTCAGTGCTGGTGACTGCGAGGCTCAGGTGGCCTTCTCCCTGGGCTGGATGTTTGAACCCAAAATTGCCCCAAATTAGAAGGAAATGGCTGGAAAACAAGCCAGCAGTATTGCAGGCTGCATGGGCTTGAGATGGGGCTCTGCAGCACTGGAGTGTGAGGCAGGAGGCTTTGTTTGCAGGCACAGGGCAGCTTCACAGAAGGAGGGAAAAAGTTCTGGCTTGAAAGAAGCTGTCTTTCTTCCTTTCAGGGTCTGCTTGCCTGCTTTAACGTGTGAGGGCATTTAGCCAGGCTGCTTTATGGTGTGCGTGATTCCAATTCACACTTCTCTGAAGCTCGTCTTCCTCCCTGTCTTTTTTGCAGTCCATCTGGCTCGCTGATGGCACGTCACTTTGCATGCAGTCACCCAGCGCTGACCCGGGGCTCTGTTGCCACCAGACTGGGGGGCTCTGCGGGCTCATGTCCCTTGGATCCATTCCTTGGGTTGGATTTGGGTCTTTCCTGGTGCAGGGGGCACTGGGGATTGGAGAACTGGAGGAGTGTGAAAATCCTCCCAGCGCGGAGGGGAGGAATTGATGCCCTCCATTCAGGAAGGCTTTCAGAGGACTTTGTTTCCTCGAGTTCAATGGGATCTAAACAAGAGGTTAATTACTTTGCTGAATTAGGGATGTTTTCCTGAATTGCAGATGAATGGGAAGGATAATAAGTCAAGTCCACTTAAAAGTCTTTGTCTTTTGTTTAGTTTTAGTGCTTGTCAAACTCCAATGACTTTTTGGCACTTGGAAGAAAGGACATCTTTGTTAAATATTCAACAGCCCATTCATTAAGGTTTGAGTGCTGACTATAAACATCATGGGAGACACCCAATAGATCTGCAGCAGGCTCTAGGGAGAGCAGGCTCGGTGTTCCCCATACATCCCAGGTCAAAAAGTGAGCAGAGAAACCCCTTGAGTGCCTCCTCACTGCAGTCCCTTCTCCTCTTCAAAAGGAAGACAACCCTGAGGGTTTTCTGCAGGCATTGTAAAGAGAAAAAAAGAAAAATGTGACTTAAGACAATAAATTCTTTCCCAGTGCAGTAGTTTTTTGTTAATTGGGTGGTATATGGACGTGGCTTAGTGGGCGACTGATGTCGTAGGTGGACGGTTGGACTGAATGGTCTTAGAGGTCTTTTCCAACTGTAATGATTCTATGATTCTGGAGGCAGACTCTGAGTTTACTTCCTTGCAGTGAAGGATGAGTAGATGGTCATCTGTGTCCCTCGCTTTGTGCTGCTAAATTTCACATTCCAGCCTCTACCTCTGCCCATTCTTTCCCGAGAAAATAGCCCAAGAGCTGCTTGTTCCCTTTAAATATAAAAATAGGAAGAACCCTCATCTCCTTTCCACAAGCAAATGAGTTTGTTGTCTCAGCACTTTAAATTAAGCCTCACGCCTCAATTATTTCCCTTAGCCTTTAACAAAAGCCCCACGTGGCCGTGAGCAGCTGTGTCAACTCCGGGTCTCCCTTTCGGCTCCTTCCTCGCAATCCCCCCAGCATGTGTTGCCCACGTGTCAGCTGCGGCCCCCTCTGTCACCTTGCTGTCACCCCTGTGTGCAGATGGGGGTCGGGACCTTTGCCTCAGCACTGCGTGGGCTGCACAGATTTCTCCTGTCCCTGTGATGAAGTGCCATAGCCCTACGAAGCATCTTGCCCCCCATCACCAATGGGAGGAACGTGTTCATGGTACCCGGCACTACACAGCCCTGTGGATGCCATGGGGTGGATGTGAGCAAGGCAGGCGAGACCTGGCAGATTGATGCTTTCTAGGTGTTGTTAGATGTTGCTTTATTCCCAACGTCTCTGGTTCTTCTTGCTGAATTCTAGGCAGGGCGAATCCAGGTGTGCAGTGGGGGGGGGGGGGAGGGAAGCGGAAGATGGATGTGAAAGGAACAAAAGGAGATCGAGAATCAGAGGGCAAGCGTTGCCGTCAAGTTGTGCTGTTGTGTGGCTGACAGTGTTTTACCAAGCCTAGGGTGTATTTATAGAGGAACATAAATCATGCACACATGCTCTGCTCGAGCACTGTGCACCTCCAGTGTGTGTATCTCTAATTAAGCAGCCGTGGAGAGGGAAACGGGACCAGAGCCCACAACCCCAGAACCGTTCGCCAACAAAGCCGTGCGCTCTGTCCTAGCGCTGCCTGCATTTATCTTTCCTGCAGCAGTGTTTAAAGTGAAAAGGGAGTATCAGGAGAGTTTGATAGGATCCAATTAAATTCCAGCAGATAAAATAATGATGAATTGCAGTTGAGCCCTGGCGAGACACGATGTACATTACTGCCGTCCCCGTAGTGAGGGGAAGAAGTTGAGGTCATCAACTACAGAAAAATAGGACACAGCTGCAGCTGAGCGGCTCCTCCAGAAACACAGCCCAGGGGGATGGTGCTGGAGAAAGGGAGGGGAGGGTCCTGTTGGGCAGAGGGAGGTTGGGATATGTGGGTTTGCTCAGGGTGGGCAGGGGAGTGACCCCTGCAGTGCCTTTCTTGGGGATCCCTGCTGGCTCAGGGGTGGGCAGAGGGCTACCCAGGAGCGAACGTGGGAGCTGCAGGGGTAGAGAAGTGGGCAGCCCCTGCCTGGAGTGGGCCTGGGAGGCAGAGCTGCATAGGGTTGTTGGCTGTTTCTTGGGAGTTTGCCTGGGATACTCCGCAGAAAGGCTTGGTGAGGAGTCCTCTGGCCTGAGTCACTTCCCTGCAGCAGGAGACCTTGCTGGGAAGAGCTGCATCCAGGCTCGTCTTTTGGGCTCCTGCAGAGAGGCACCAGAGCACTGATCTGGGCAAGCTGAGGAGCCAAGGAGCTCTATCCCATCACTGACTCACTCCATGACATGTATTCTCCTGTCCCTTCTTCAGGCACTGTAGCACGTGATCATGCTTCTCCCTTTCAACATCCACTGTTTGCTGTCTGGGCAGTGCCTGTTTATTGCTTGCAAAGCAAAGTAACTCAACTTGGGGCTGGCAGCATGTCTATGGAGCAGAACACAGTGTGGCTGTGAGGCTGCCAGGTGCCACCAGCCCTGTCCTCCTGCACGCAGCTCATTGCTGATTGCTGATAGCCGCAGCCATTGCTTACCCAGGAAGTTAATAACAGTTAAGTGCTTAATGGATATTTGGAAATGTGTTAGCTGGAGGCAAGGAAGAGCCAATGGGACAGTGCACAGAACTTATTTTGTACAGCAAAGGGTACCCGGAATGCCGGGAGGGTGCTGGAGCTCTGGAATGACCTTTTGCCAAGTGTGAATGCAAGCATTCCAGTGCATAAGAGGGATAACATGCTTATGGCTGTGAAGAGGCACAGGGGAGTGAGAGCAGGAGAGCAGTTTTGGTTGTGCCATCAGCATGTGACCCTAGCCTTGGCTGCTCACCACTCTTTTACTCCCTAGCCCAGATCCAGGGAGGCAGCTTTGTGCCCTGTGTGACTTTCTCAAGCTTCATGGATCCTTTTGAAATAACCCCTATGTGGGTCTGCAGGGAGTGAGTGCTGGGGAGTTGGGGCAGATTCCAGGTGTGCCGCTCCAAATGCGGCGTGCTCAGCATGGTGGTGTCTTTACTGAGATGGATGGCATCTCTTGTGCGTGTTCCTTCTTTGCAAACCTGTCTCTGTCTCAGGGCTGGTGCACAAAGAGTTAACTCTCTCCCTCCCTCTCCTCCTATTCTTCTTCCTCCACCCTCCTACCCACCTCCCAGAAGAACTAATTTCCAAAAGCAGCCGGGGCAGAGAGATGCAAATAAGTGTTTTGGACAGCTGCAGGCTGGATGCCTTCCCGAGATGCCAGGGCCCCAAATGAGACATGTCAGAGTACAAATTGAAAATGCCAATTTCACTTACACTGCCACGTGGCTCGTCACAGCAAAACTCTGCTCCAGTGCTGCTGTGGCACTCCCTGGCACGTGCTGTGCCGTGCTGCAGGGGATGGTCCCGTTGCTGCTGTGGGTCTGGCTCCTGGCCTCAGTCCTGCTTGAGACGAATGGCTGGTTGAGAGTGTAGGTGAAGGATGAAGGAAGGTGGAGGGATGTGGGCTCACGGCCCTGTTCTGGCTCCATTTTCCTAAGCTTGGAGATGGAGTGTTGCTGAGATATTTGTGATTCTGTAGCTTATTTGGGAGCTGATGGGGCTGCCTTGCAGAGAGGTGGTTATGGACTTAGGAAAGGGATGAGATTGCAGTTGGGTGTTTCATGCCTTAAAACCACTGTGTACATCTGATCAGTGGCAGCTGTGCTATGCAGGAGTGCATTTTTGGGCTCTTCCAGCCTGGCCCCTGTGTGAAGGACCATTAGCCAAAAGCAGTGGATCATAAAATTATTAAGTTTGGAAAAGACCTCTAAGATCATCTAGTCCAGCCATCCATCTGCCAATATTGCTCACTAACTATGTCCCTAAGTACCACATCTCCATGTTCCCTGAACACCTGCAAGGATGTGTAACCTAAAACAGGAGATGGCTTCTTGGTTGTACCTTGTGGGGTCAGAGGGGCTGAGGGGTTGGGTGTGTTACTGTAGCCACATCCGTGGGCACCGTGTCCCCATGGCTGGTCATGGCTCCAGTCCTAGGGATGCTCCTCAGGTCTAGGAGGCTGCTTGCCAACACGGGGAAAGCCAGAAATACAGAGAACGGAGGTGGGTGAGGCTGTGCTGGAGGTGGTGTGGCCGTGTCCAGCCTGCAGCTTGGGCAAGCTGCTGCCCAAGCATCCACAGCTCCTAACAAACTCCAGCAAGCCATGAATCATTCATTTAATCTCTCCTGACACGCCTGTCATTTTCTCCGGAGAGGAGCGGGGAATCTCTTGCCGAAGGAGGTCATTAGCTGTCAGGGACGGTTCCGACTGCCTTCCTGTCTCCGTATCGATTAAAGCTCTCTGCCTGCGTGCCGGGGCTGTGCGGGGAATATTGATGGGGCTGCCGGGGCTGCAACTCAGGTTTCGAAGCAAGGGAGAGCGAGGTTGGGTGGGAGGAGGCAGCAAGCTGGGAGCTGAGCTCTGTGCAGCAGCAGGGATCCAGCTTCATCCCTCTGCTAGGCTGGCAGGGCTGGGAAGGGTGGGGAAGGGTTCAACCCCCCTGTTCCTGGTGTGGAGAGAGGGGTGTGTTTGTTTCAGATGTTATCTATTTCAGTCTCTTCAGCAGCAGTTTCAGACCTTTGGGTTAATGGGCTTTTGGTCTTTTTAGAAACCCTTTATGCTGTTTATTTTTATGCCAGTCTTGCCTACTGGTTTGCCTGTGCCGTGTCTGCTTTTTTGCCCAAACTATCAGACCTGTCCCTTTGTGGCCAGACCAGTTTCTTGCAGTCTCCGTCCCTCTCTTTTTGGCTGATAGGGGGCAGCCCCATAGCAGTGCCCTACACCTCTCCATGTGTATCTCTAATGGCCTCCTCCTATCCCCTCCTGCAGTACTTCTACGAAGGGAACGACATCAGCGATCTGCCGGTCAACTTATCTGTGGTTTGGAACGGAAACTTTGTCATCGACAACCCCCAGAACATCCAGGGTAAGTGAGGTTATGGGCTGGGGTGGGAAAGCAGCCCTGTGGACCCCCAGCCTCCCCATCTCCTCTGAGCAGGGAGCCCAGTGACATCTCAGGGCTGTGGGTAGCATTGACCCCGCTCTCTACTTGCTGTTGCAGCCCACCTGTACAAGTGCTCAGCCCTGCGGGAGAGCTGTGGGCTGTGCCTGAAGGCCGACCCACGCTTCGAATGTGGCTGGTGCGTGTCGGAGAAGCGCTGCACTCTGCGGCAGCACTGCCTGGCCTACGAGAGCAGCTGGATGCACGCCAGCAGTGGTAACAGCCGCTGCACCGACCCCAAGATCACCAAGGTAGGGGGTGTGCGGGTCTGGGATGTGAGGGGGGCACCAAATATAGTCCGTGCTTTGAGCTGAGCGTTTCTTGTCGCTGTTTTGTTCTCCAAGGCTAAAATCTTCCCTCTGCAGCCCTGGTGCTTTTGGCTTTCTGTCCCATGTCTGAGATTCCTGCTGTTCATCTGAGCATCCCAGAAAAGCTGCAGATCTGGTCTGCTCTTCCCCTGATTGCATGGGCCGGTAGTTCATCATTCCCATCTCTGGCAGCTTTTATGACTTTCCTTTCACAAGATTGCCCACATTAATGTTAACATGTCTGTCGGCTGGGCTAGAGGTGCTTTAGGAGGGATTGATGCGTAATTCCATGCGATCTGTTCTGTTTACCCACGGCTCGCAGGGCAAGCAGGCATTGCTGGTGTTAATTACTGGAGTCTTAGCGTTGTATTTGATCTGTTTGGGTTTCTATGTGATATCTGATGAAAGCTGGAAACCATAGCCCTGCCTTTCCCACTGCCCCTGTGCCCATGTCCCGTGTGCGTGCCTTCCCTGCAGGGGCAGGTTTGAGCCGCTGCTGATGGCAAAGGTGGTAGTAGGGTCCCTGTGACAGCTCCTGCCTCGGGATGGCACTGAGCACCCATGAAGGCAACCGGGCCATGATTCGCTAGCATCCATGTGCACACTGCAGTGCAAGGTGTCTGGCTCGCAGCAGGCTCTCCATCATTATGCAGTTTGGCAGTAATTGCAGATGCAGAATAAGCAGATCTGTTAGCAGGTGGGCTTGACCTTGGTGCTGCTCTGTGCCCTGGGGCCAACATGAGCAGGCGGTCGCTGCAGATTGTGGACGTGGTGCTCCTCCAGCAGCTGCTGCTGCTTTCCACAGCCCCCCCTTCCTGCATCCAGGCTTGTGAGCGTAAGACATGGGTTGGGAGGAAAAGAGGAGCCCCTTGCAGAGGTTTGAGAAGGATGTGGAGCCTTTTCCCAGCCCAGCAGGTGGAGATTAGGTGTATTCGTGGGTGGTGAAGCTGGGCTGGGAGGTTACCCCAATTCTTCACCATTGCTCAGTGGTGGGGGACAGGCAGCTCTGCAAACTTGCATGGGTCCTGCCGGCTGCTGGCCATGAGTCTCAAGTTGGGTCTGTTCCCCTGATTGTCCCCTCCCCGTGCTACAGTTGCTTATGCCCCCTGAAGCCATTTACCTGTTGGGTTAAAAGGACCCTGTGAAACCAATTAGCGGAAGAGTAGTGTTTGCTGGGGCTGGGACTTTGGGGTGTGAGGTTGTGGGCATTGCTCTGCCCTCCTTACCAGCTCCTGCTCCCATGCGGCTTGTTTAGCTGTGACCTTTCTGTGCTGCGCCGTGAACGGAGTCACCTCTTTCCTGGGCTCATTTCTCCCTGAGCACATGGCCCTTGTCAGGTTTGCAGGGAGGAGGAGGAATCTAACATGCTTTTAGTGCTCATCTGAAAATACCAAACAAACAGACGCTTATTGCCAGCCCCCCAGCAGAGCTTGATGCATGAAGAAGAGCAGTCACAATCACTTGTTGCAGCTCTGTAGTGAGCCCTGATCCTGGAATTGTGCTGACTTCAGGCAAATAGCAGTGCCCAGAGCCCGGAAGGGTTTTTTTCACTGTGTAAAGCAGGAGCTGTGGCTGCCTTGGGCTTGCTGTGAGCTTTGGGGTGCTGGTGGAGCCCCACCACTGCCCTGGGAACACATCCCCTGTCCCAGTGCAGGCATGCAGCCCTGCCATTTGTTCTACTTAGTGCTGCAGGTGTGCACTGCTGTCAGATTGCCCCTAATCGCCTCGTTGGAGGCACGCGGTGGGCCCATACCTCTTTGTTCATTTGTCATCCCAACGCCTTCTGTCAGGCCACACCTGTCCGCTTTATTGGGAATCATGCTGGTAAATGAGGCACGGCACGAGGCGGATGCTCTCCAGCAACCGGCCAGCTTGGCAAGGGTTTGGATGGCAGAAAGATGAGCAGGACCCATATTCCCCACGTTCCCCTTGCCTGCTGTGTTGGCGGTGAGAACTTGGTGGGAATTGTTCCTCACGTGAGAACAGTTTGGGTGTGGGGACCTCATCCCTTGGTATGTGAGACCTTCCCAAAGGCAAACTCATGTATTTCTGTGGTCTGTCTTGTCTCCCTCCTTTCTGTGTCCCCATCTCCTATGTATCACCCGTCTCCATCTGCAGCAGGGTGTCCATGAAGCAGCCCGTTGCTCGCACACATCTGGCACCTCCAGACTCATTCCTCAGGGGCCATGTGGACACTGCAGGCGTTTGGAAAGTCTGTCTTGCTTCGTGCTTTGTGCACATGCTCTGGCATTTGTCACAGCTGATTTGCTCCTCGGCAGGGAGCAGTGCCCATCCTGGTGCTATGCAGGCTGCAGCCAGTGGAGCGAGGCATCCCCTGCAGCCTGATGGCTCCAGTCCCTTGGCTGATGTGCTGTGCTGTTCCTTAGCTGTCACCTGAGACCGGCCCTAGGCAAGGAGGGACACGTCTGACCATCACGGGGGAGAACCTGGGCCTCAAGTTTGAAGACGTGCGCTGGGGTGTTCGAGTGGGCAAAGTGATGTGCATCCCCATCGAGAGCGAGTACATCAGCGCTGAGCAGTGAGTTTGGGAGAGGGAGGATCATCTTGGTGCATGGGGGCAACGGGGGTCAGGGCTCAAACACTGCCTCTGCCTGCAGAAGGACGTGTGGGAGCAAAGCCCAGGCTGGCAATGGTCTTCTTCCCTGTGTCTTTTAGGATCGTGTGTGAAATTGGAGATGCCAGCCCAAGCAAGGTCCACGATGCGCGGGTTGAAGTGTGCATCCGGGACTGCTCCCCCAACTACCGGGCCACCTCACCCAAGAGCTTCACCTTCGTGGTAAGCCCTGGTGTCACCCCATGCACTGGGAACAGGGCTGGTGTCACATGTGGCTGGGGGCCATGGGAGGAAGGTGGCTGGGGGTGTCTTGGTGCTATAGGCAGCCCCCTGTGCCATACCCTGTGTCTCTCCCACCCTCCCCTCTGTCATCATCCACTCATGGATGCTTGGGACCCGGGTCCCATCCTGACTTAACACATGCTGAGGCTTTTCTCCTTTGGCAGACGCCCACTTTCTCCCGAGTGACCCCTGCCCGCGGCCCTCTCTCCGGTGGCACCTGGATTGCCATTGAAGGAAGCCACCTGAATGCTGGTAGCAACGTCACTGTCACCATCGGGGGACGGCCCTGTGCCTTTTCGGGGTGAGGGGCATGGGGCACGTGGGTGGGGGAATGGAGGTGGGGGCACCTCTGGAGGCAGTGGAACCCCCAAGTAGAGCAGACCCCATTGAGCCAAATCCTGCAGGCGCCTGGAGGAGTGTCCCCCCGAAGCCTCCTTGTGTCAGAGGCTCCGGGAAGAGCCCAAAGCGCGGGGATTTTTCTCTAAAAGCACAGAGCCCTGAGGCATGAAGTGGATAATTTTTAGATTAGGGATGATAATGGAGCGGCTCTTTAAATATTTTCCTGCGGTAATTACTGGTTATCAGCTCTAATCGCTGCTGTTTGCAGCAGCCACGCAATGGGAACGCTCAGGAGCAGCTCAGCCTTTCCTGGCTGCCTTTTGTTTCATTTCTTGAGTCTCTTTTTCTCTCCCTTTCCCACTCAGCAGTTTCACAAGGGGTAGGGGTGCCGTTACCTCCCTCCTCTCTGACTGTCCTGTTTCTGCCCCAGGAGAAGTGCCCGTGAGATCCGCTGCAGGACCCCCCCTGGCCATGCTCCTGGTGGGTCCCCCATCCTCATCAACATCAACCGGGCAGAGCTGAGCAACCCGGAGGTGAAGTACAACTACACAGAGGACCCTACTATCCAAAAGATTGATCCTGAATGGAGCATCAACAGGTAGGTGAAGGACTGCTCACGGGGATGCAGCAGGGCTCTGCTGGGCACAGATCCCCCATCCCAATCTGCGTTCCTCAGCGCTGCTGCAATTATATGCCATGCTCCAGAGAGGAGCATGAGGAATGGCTTGGCACTGGGTCCCTGCTAACTCCTGGCCTGCAGTGCTCAGCCTGGCAGGGGGCAGGAGCGGAGAGAGCTTTGGATCTGCTTAATTTCAGCTTGACATTTGGCAGCAGAGAATAAAATTAAAATATTTCCCATTGGGGGATTTTGGAAATGTTTGCATATTTTTTCTAAAAGGTTTGAATTGGCTGGAGAGGAGGCGAAGGAGTCCATTAAGTGCTTGTGCTAAGGGAAACCTTCCCCAGGGTGCCAATGAGGAGTGAGCTCCCCAGGGGCATAGCTGACCTCTCTGGGGCTTTTAACACTAAGTGGCAGAGAAAACCCCACAGGGACCAGCCTGGCTTGGCACCTGCTGCTTGTCACCTCCGTCTGCCATGGAGGGAGGGAGTGGCAGAGAGGACCTCCCGTTGGCTTTCCCATCACTTGTTCCTTTATTTGGAATTGCATTCAGACTCCAAGCCCTGCACTCCATGAATACACAGGATGGGATTTTAGGGCTGTTAGGCATCTGAGATGATTTGCTGCTGGTTCTGCTGCCCATGGTGACGTGGCTGGAGAATGGGTCCCCGGGGCACCCTGGCTGGGGCAGGTGGGCCTCTGTCCGGTGAGGATGGGGCCTGCTGTTTGCCCAGAAGTGGGGACCTGAGGTCACAGCTTTTTCTCCCTACCTGTCATCTATCTGTCTCTAGTGGTGGGACACTGTTGACTGTGACTGGCACCAACCTGGCCACCATCAAAGAGCCCAAGATCCGAGCCAAGTACTGCAGCTCTGAAAGGGAGAATGTAAGTGATGCTGTCTGATGGGGAGGGCTGAGATCAGGGCTAGAGCACAGGGAAGAGGGATGTAATCTCTCTGCAACTTAGAGCAGAAAGCGCATCCCTCCCTGGGATCCAAATGTGATATCATGGGGGTGGTGGTGTCCAGGGCCTGTACCCAGAAGAGGGGCGCTGGGGCAGTGATATCCCTGCCCAGCACTGCTAGGGTGAGATCCGAGCATGCAAAAATGATGGGAGGTCTGTCGGATGTCTGCAGGGCAGAAAGACCCCATCCACAGCAAGCTGTCCCAACTACCACCATCACACATCTGTAAAATGCAGCTACCAGGGTGTTACATAGCATCCATTGATATTATGACACAGACTCTAAGTCCTGTGTCCAGAGCTTGCAGAAGATCCTATAGGGTCAGACTCTGCCCTCACTGCTGGGAGCCAGGTCTGACCCTAACCTGTGCCCCCCACAGAACTGCACTGTGTACAATGACACCACCATGGTGTGCTATGCACCCTCCATTGACAACCCTGAGCGGAGCCCTCCTGAGGTCGGTGACCGGCCAGACGAGATCGGGTTCATCATGGATAACGTCCAGGCCTTGCTGATCATCAACACCACCAACTTTGTATACTACCCAGACCCCGTCTTTGAGCCGCTCAGCCCCACGGGGATGCTGGAGTTGAAGCCCAGCTCTCCCCTCATCCTCAAGGTAAGGCTGTGTGCACCCAGGGCATGGTTCTCCTGAAGCAAATTTGCTCCATGATGAGGCTTCGGAGCATTCCCTGTTGTTCTGGAGCTGACTGCTTCGTTCTTTGATCCCTCAAAGGGCAGGAACCTGCTCCCTCCAGCTGCAGGGAACTCCCGCCTGAACTACACAGTGCTGATTGGGGACACTCCCTGCACTCTGACCGTGTCTGAGACCCAACTGCTCTGTGAGTCTCCTAACCTCACTGGCCAGCACAAAGTCACGGTAAGCATCGAGCCCCCTGTGCAGGAGGTTGGGAGGAGGAAACATGGGGCTAACGTGGGGCTTCGTATCAGAGATGCAGGAAGGAAAGTAGCTGGTGTTAGGGGCACTTGGAGCCTTTGTATCTCATGGTCCCTGGCTGGCTGTCACAGAGATATAATCTTCATGCCAGCACTGACCCCACTACGTGTGCTCATCCTCAGACAAGGATGGATAGCACACTTGCAGGAACAGTCCTTGGGAGCCTTTTCCCTTTGCCCCACGCATTGCTCTCCCTAATTGTGTGCTTGCTGGAGGACCAAATGTTTTGTCCTTTTCCTGGCACATTGAGACGGCTGTTCCTTCACCCTGCTAAGAGTTGCTGGGTGCCAGGGCACGGCTGGAGCCGAGCACAGGGGGGTTTCCACCTCATCCATGGTACCCACTCGCACTGTAAGCCACACTCCATGTGCATCAGCTTGTTGCACAGCAGTGCTCATGCTCCTGGTCTGCACGGCCTTGCTTGCTTGAAAGGGACCTGATACACTCCCCCTGGGCTCTCCATCTATCAGGGAGCTCGCTTCACATCCCATCTGTTATTGTAATGCTGTCTGAATGAGACATCAAACTCCCTGCCTGTTCCATGTGCATGTTGGCAGCGTGTCCTGCATCCCATTACCATGCGCTGCGCTGCTCCGGACGAGCTCCTGGGGCACTGGGGGATGCTCTGCGTTTCCCCACATCCCTTTGTTCCCAGTGTGGTGGGAAGTCACGATGCCCCCTTAGTGTCCTGACCCTTTGCTTTTTCTTTCCCTGCGATGCAGATTAAGGCTGGAGGGTTTGAGTTCTCCCCGGGCACGCTGCAGATTTACTCGGACAGCCTGCTCACCCTGCCTGCCATTATTGGGATTGGCGGCGGCGGCGGCTTGCTGCTGCTCATCATCATCATCGTCCTCATCGCCTACAAGCGCAAGTCCCGTGATGCTGACCGCACCCTGAAACGCCTCCAGCTGCAGATGGACAACCTGGAGTCCCGGGTGGCCCTGGAGTGCAAAGAGGGTGAGCAGTCCTGGCCCCCAGCTTTGTGTTGGGTATGGGTTTCATATCAGGCACCATGAGACACTTCTGTCCTTTACTAATCTCAGTGCGTGGGGTCAGGATTCAGCCCTCTGCCTCTCACCTCTCCCACCTCCATCCTCTTCTTTCTCCCTGTGGTACCTCATAGACTCTCACCTGGACTCTTGCTTTCCCTGTGGGAAAGTGATGTCTCTGTGCCACCCCCATGCTCTGGGTGCTCCCACCCTTTCCTCATTGCCTATCAGAGAGGGAATAAAACTGAACAAAGCTGCTTTGTCAGAGAAAGGAAAACTATTTTGGGTGGGATTTGGGGATTTTTCCAGTTGAAGAATTCCCTTCTGTTTCTCCAAATATGAGCAAAGGGAGCAAAGAGGGTAGCGAGGGCTGCCTGTGAGCAGGCAATTGGTCTCTCATTATGTGATAGACGGATGCTGTGAAATTGGACAGAATTCCTTGTATGATCCTGCTGATAAAACCTAATTGCCCATTATCCCCCTGAGCTGGCTCCCAAGGCCCCGACCCTGCCAAGCACCACCACAACCAGCCTCAAACCTGCGGATGGAGCAGGCACCTACAACGAGATAATAAAAAGGGGAACACAAGAAAAACCCTTTGCTTCCCCAAATCCCCATCCCTAAACAGGCGTGTGGATGGCAGTGGTGACAGGGAGAGGGGAGGGAGCTGGTGTCTTGTCTTCCACAGCTGGCAGATAAAAGGATCTGCTTTTAATTAAAAGGCACAATCTCTTCCCTGCCTTTTCTCTTTTCTAGTCCCACTAGTTACAGATAAGATAGCACGCCTTTCAAGCTGACGGTTTGTTTTTTCTCATCAGGCTGACGAGCCTGCAGCCCTCTGCTATGCTTTCAGCTCCCTTTAAAGTGCCGTTAATTTGATTTTTCTGAGGGTTTTCTCCCCCTCACTCCCCCAACCCCTTTCCCTTCTCTAGGACTCCTCTCCCGTCAGCTTTTCCCTCTAGGTGCAATTAAAGGTTCAGGACCTCCCTGCATTGCTTTCCCTTGGGAATCGAGAGGTGCTGGGGTGGGTGTGTTCAGCTCTTCAGTAGTATTTAGGTCAAAACAAAATGAGGACATTCTTGTGGTTTCTGCTAACGTTTCCCCCAGAAGCTCTGGCTTTGTGCAAACCTTGCCTTTCCCAGCTGCCCCCGGGATCCCATTGAGCCTGTGAGTGCTGAGTGAGGGGAATTGCAGCCTCTGGGACCCGCTGGTCCCGTTCCCAGCTCTACCACTTGATTTATTCCAAGGGGATCATCCTCTCTGCCTGCAGCTCTGTTTCTGTTTCTCCATGTGTAAGATGGGGGCAGCGATAATATGCAACCCAGTGTGCAGGATGTGGATCCAACTCTGAGCATTGCCCTGAGACCCACCCATCAGATGCCATGGAATGTTTTGAGTGGCAGTGCAGCGTGCTGGGGGCCATGTTACTGAATTCTGCTTTTTCCATCCAGCCTTTGCTGAGCTGCAGACAGACATTAACGAACTGACTAACGACCTGGATGGGGCCGGCATCCCTTTCCTGGATTACCGCACTTACGCCATGCGGGTTCTGTTCCCCGGGATAGAAGACCACCCGGTGCTGAAGGAGATGGAGGTGTGGTACTGGGTGTCTATCTGTCTCTGCAGGGTTTTATGCTGGGGATGCACCTCTGGGCTGGAAAGGGGAAGGAATGTGATGTGGCCATGCTCATCTGCCTCCTTGCAGCTTCTGAGCTGTGAGTAGGGAGTTTGGCGGTTCTAGAACAGGCTGCCCTGAGCATGGGGCTACTGAGGTACTCTGGAGGCATTCAAGGCCAGTCTGGATGTGGCTCTGGGCAGCCTGGTCTAGTGGTTAGCAGGGTTGAAACTAGATGATCATTGTGGTCCTTTTAAGCCCAGGCCATTCTATGATCCTCAGGCAAACGGGGAGGGATGCAGGCTGGTGAGGCTGGGCAGAACTATGCTGTTTTCATAGCTGGGCTATGCCAGAAGTCAGGAGTGATTCCAACCCTTCTGCAATAGAATGGATAAACAGCAAATAGTGGAGAGGGTGAAGTGTTTTGGGGCTGTGTGGGATAGGAATAATAAAGGATTGCTGCTGCTTCTGTGCTTGCAAGGTTGGTGGTTGCACTACAGGAGGGATGGTGGAAACTTCAGGGATGTGAGCTTGGGCTGAGTGGTTGCTGCTCTCTCTGACATTAGTATCAATATTTATATTAGTATCATTGCTGCTGTCATTTTCTACAGCACTTGCTTTATTCATTTGGGTTTGTTTGATGCCTGCAAGGCTGCTCTTTGCTAGCAGACTTGTCTAACATGTCCTGTGTCTGTGGCTCTGTTTCCCAGTACAGAGCCCAACCTGGGCATCCTGCTCCCCAGAACAGCACCCTTTTCTTTCTCAGCTTCCCCACACCTGCCTCATCTGGGGCATGCAATACAGGGCTGCTGGGGCTGCTCTTGGTTGAAGAAATGAGGTGGGTGAACCTCGGCTTCCCCTTGCTTCTGATCTGGTGTGGTAATTAGTGTTGGTATGGGAGAAGCACTCAGCTCTGGTGCAGGATGCATGGTTGCTAGTTACAACCTAAGCCCTTACCAATTGCAAGCACACGTGCTGGTGTTGTCAGGCAGCATAGCCTCAGCTGGGGGAGCTGGCCCTGTGCCTGCTCCATAATCCCAGCTCCGGAGGCAGGGGGGTCCCTGTTTCCGTGGATTTCCCCATGCAGCTCAGGTTTCCCAGATGCTCAGAGCTGTTGCTGGCTATGGGGCCGGGGAGCAGTCATCCCCTGGGCACAGCCCTTCCTGTCCCTGCAGAAGCCTGGCTCAGCTCTTCTCTGCTCCTGCTCCTAAGTGTATTCCTTAAGATTTTTCCTGGAGGCAGTGATGCATAGCTGCTGGAACAGGTGTGTGGATGAGGCACCTTGAAGTGGATGAGAGCAGAAAGCTTTAGTGGCAGCATCTGCAGATGCTGCAGTCCTCTCCAAAGGGGAGAGGGGTGGAGACAATACCAAACTGGAGCTCTGGAGAGGAAATTGCAGAGGAGTAATTGTAAATTATCCAGGGGGACTGGGCAGGAGTTCATCCACTCCCAGCTCCTAATTGAAAACATCCCACCAGAAAAAGCATGCAGACTCAGCCTCGCCTGGGGCAGAAAGGGTTAATATTGCAAGGAAGCAAAAAAAAAAAAAAAAATCACCAAAAAAACCCAAAAGAGATTAAATAAAGCAACTACAGTTGTGCAAGCTTCATATAATTGAATCAGGTTTGCTTTTATTTGTCTCTTTGCTCAGAGTGTAACATTAGTTACTGCGGATGATGGGAGGGAAGCGGCGCTCGCTTGCGCACCCGCTAATCCACAGCCAAGCATTACACTGTCATTACCAGCTCCCTTTCTCTTTACGTTTGTTGGAGGGAGGTTTGTTGCTTTGTGTGAGTTTAAGCCTGATTAAATATTTAATTCGGTATTGTTCATTTATTTCTGCTAATGATCAGCGAGTTAAACACAGCGGTGCAGGCAGGCAGCAGGGCGGTGTGTGTAGGGCTGTGCGCAGTGGACACTGCCATCCTCTGGTGCCCTTCCCAAACCTTACGTGGTGTGTGCTGTTGGGCAGGACCCATCCCCCAGCTGGCTGAATGCCAGTTGAATGCCATCCCTGAAGGTGTTCCAGAGCCATGGAGATGTGGCACTGAGGGATGTAGTCCGTGGGCATGGTAGGGTTGGATTGATGGTTGAACTCAGTGATATTAGTGGTCTTCTTTTGCCTTAACGATGCTGTAAGTTGACATGATGGTGATAGGCTGATGGTTGGACTTAGGTGATCTTGAAGGTCTTTTCCAACCTTAATGATTCTATGAGGGATGATTCCTGAGAGCAGGGATAGAGGTTTGTCGCTTCCCCAACTCCATGCTGGGATGTCCTGGGGCAGGTGTTCCCTCTTCTCCTGCATGGCGAGGGGACACGCAGAGCCCATGTGACACACATGACAAGGAAATGGGATTATTCTTTTCCTGTGGGAAGTGTCAGCAGTTTTGGAGGGGGAAGGCACAAGGACGAGGAGCTTCACTGAACCCAAAAGCGACGCTCCAAAGTTTTGATTGAAGTGAAATGATTTGATGTGTCAAAACGCTCTCCTTCATTTTGAGTTGATGTTTCGAAATGAAGAGTCTTGTTTTGTCTCCAAATATCGACACAAAATGAAATTCCTCACTTATTCTCCCAATCAGGAAGACAAGGGGAAAAAAAAAAATCATTAAAATTGATGTTTTACCACAGAAAGGCTTTTATTCAGAGGAAACCATCTTTTATAATAGGAGGATGTTGTGTGTAAAAATGCTCATTTCTGGTAAGAAACATGGTCAGTGCTGAGCAGAGCAGTGCTAACGAAGGCGATGGGGAGATGAAAGGAACCCAGCGCACTCCCAGCTGGACATGTCTGAGATACAGCTTCAAAAGCAAAAGAGAATATTTCAGATTGTGTCTGGAGAGGGGTAGACCCGGGTTTCCACTATTCACTCCTGTCTAAAATCTATTCTCCAAAACCTAGCAGCTTTATTGACTGCAGAGCTTGGTATCGAGGCTTTATTTGCTTTCTGGATATTGGAAAGGGGCAGGCACTCCTTCAGTGTGATACTCACACCATGCTTTGGGTGGGAATTGAGCTTCTTGATATTGAAATCTTGATCCTTGGGAACAAAGAGAATGTAGGTGAGGGATCTGCATGTATGTCTGTGCATACATGTTTGAAGATGATGTATGCAATGATGCCCCAAGACTGTGCTGACTTGATGCGCAGCCCCCCTGATTTCTCATTGCCCTCCTTCTTGCTCCCATCTTCCAGCTTTGCTCTATCCCTGCAGGTCCAGGCAAACGTGGAGAAGTCCCTGACCCTCTTTGGGCAGCTCCTGAACAAGAAGCACTTCCTGCTGACCTTCATCCGCACGCTGGAGGCTCAGCGGAGCTTTTCCATGCGAGACCGTGGCAATGTGGCCTCACTCATCATGACAGCACTGCAGGGTGAGATGGAGTATGCCACGGGTGTTCTGAAGCAGCTTCTCTCCGACCTCATCGAGAAGAATCTGGAGAGTAAGAACCATCCCAAGCTGCTCCTGCGGAGGTGAGTGGCCGTTTGAAGGGCTGGAGTTGTTCGGTGGTGCCCCAGTGTGCTAGCAGCCAACAAGAGCCCTTTTTTCCTCACCTCCTCTTCAGGGGCTTTGTCCACCTTGCCAGGCTTGGCAGGGTTTTCCAAGCAGATCTCTTCAAGCCAGGAGTCTCACCCAGGGCTGGGGTAGAGCGTGAGCAGAAGGCAGCATGCCAAGCCCCACCGTGAGTCTGCCTGGGCCATCAATATTTAATGATAGCTCTGAGCTCTCCTTCATCACAGGCTGATGAATATTGAAAGATGCACCAAGTGCTGAACAAAAACAATTAATAAGCTCCACCAGCCCAGCCCGAGGCCCTCCATGCCATCCCTTCACATGCTGTGCCTGTACCAGCCCACAGCAGGGATGAAGCAGCATCCCTCCAGTGGGGATGACTGCAGTGTTGGCATGTCATCAGAAAGGCATGAGGATGCCAGAGCATCTTTCAGACATCATCTGATGTTTTTGGCATGGCCAGACTGGACAGAGCGCACTGGGCTTTGTGTGCCTGGCCATGGGGAGATGCCTGGAGCACGTACAGCTGCAAGCTGGTCCCTGGCTGTGTTCCCTTGGCTGGTCTCTGCCTCATTTGTCACCTGCATCCCAGAGGAGCCCATGGTTTCTCACAGCACCTCAAAAGGAATAATGTGGCAGAGGGTGCAGTGCAGATGTGCAGCTGGCAAGGATAGGACCATGGGGGAGGCAACCCATGTGCCTCTGATCTGAGCGCATCCCTATGCTCTTCCCCTCTTGCTGTCCCTCCACAGCAACAGGCTTCACCACGGCAGCTGGAGCTGTGGGAGGCTTAGGACAGGGATGAGGTTCCCTATTAGTCCCCTGCATGTTCCCAGGTAAAATTTAACCAGACTTTGCTCTTCCTGCAGCCGTGGCATTTGAGGCTGTGCTTCCTTCCTCCATCCTTTTGATTAGCTGTGCTGTTGGGTGAGAGAATGTACTTACCGCCCAGAGCAACTGGATTACCATTGATCTTACTGGGGAGAGCTGTTATTTATTTATTTTGTTATTGGATAATCTCCCATTGCTGTGGCATCTGGCCCTGTTGTAGATAAAGACAAGCATCTGCTTGGAGTTCAGGCTGTGGCACTGGAGATGGATGTTCGGGGTAGTCGGTGGAGAAGCTGGGCTGGGGCTGAGGAGGATATCTACTGGTAACATCAGCCCATCCTTTCCGTAGCTTTCTCCCTACATCCCTTTTACTTGTCTCTTTTTTCTCCTCTTAATGGATTAATCTTTGCTGATGGGCTCAGGAAAGCTTTCCTCCTGCAGTCTGAGGTATTACCATCCCCTAATGCCTTAAGGAGGGCTCTTCTGTGCCACTGAGGGCAAAAAGGGATAAACCCCATTAACACCAGAGAAAGGCTTGGAGGGGACAGTACAACCCCAAGTCAGTGTGAATAAACTCCAGGAAAGTGGATTTCCTACCCCAGCCATCTGGCCATGGAGAATGGCTTCTGTCCCATCTGCCCTGCGTGGCACTGCCTTTGGGCAGCAGGATCACTTCTGAGCACTCTGGAGATTCAGGTTCCTTCTGGTTTGTGTTTCCTGAACCAACCTGTATCCGTTTCCTTGGTTTAACAGGAATGCAGATCTGTCTGGGAGGTTATTAGTATTGCTTGTGCTTTCGGGAGCATCTGCGTTTACAAGTGGCTGATCTGATGATTAATGGGTGGATAAGCTGAGAAGTATAACTAAAGGGTTTCAGGAGTCTGGCTGGCATTTTTACCCGAAAGGGAGTGAAAGTGACTTTAAAAGTAATGGACGTGTTAATGTGAATTTTAAGCTTGTGGCAGCTAGACCAGCCTGTGGTGCAGTGACAGGCACGTTTACTGTGAGCTGTGTGGTGGTGATGGGCCAAAGGGATGGGTTGAAAGGGACCTTAAAGACCATCTGGTTCAGTGCTTTCCTTTGGGTCACGCACTAACTGGAGAGCTTGAAGGAGGTTTTGGTGGTACTTGACCTAGCTTAGGGGTCTCATACAGTCGACTCTCTGCAGAGGGAGCTGCCAGGTTCCAATAGGACATAACAAAAGAAACATATTTCATTTAAGTAGAAGGTAACAGGGACAAGTAGAATGCTGGTCATCCCCTGGGTGAGACTCCTCACGGGGTGAGGTCGTCTGCATCTCTCTCCACTTCTCCAAGTATGCTGGAGACCTGTTTGCTTCTCCCTCTTGCAGGTGGGCAGGCATGTCACTAGAGCTTTTGCTGTCTGCCCTGCTGTCTTGTGCCTTTCCAGATGTGACCTTTTAAAGCCGAAAATAAGATAGCCACAGTCCAGGTGGCAGTGGGTAGGATCAGAGACTTTCAGTGTCCTCTCCTGATCGCTTTGCTCTCTGCCTTCCCTACAGAACAGAGTCAGTCGCAGAGAAGATGCTGACAAATTGGTTCACGTTTCTGCTGTACAAGTTTCTGAAGGTGAGTTTGGGAGGGATTGCTGACCCTCTGTCGGGACAGAGGTGGGTTCCTACCTCACTGGGCTGGGCAGTGTGTCACCTGGGGCCTGGGCTGATGTGTTTCTTTAGTCTGCAGTTCCCTCCTGGAGTACTGATCGCTTCCCAGGCCTTGGTTTCCTTCCCACATTTTTGAGATGTGATTACTGATTCTGGCTTTCCTTTTGGGGAAATAGCTGAGATTGAGAAATGAAATGCAGGCAGAGATTGCTTAATGCATTCTGGTTTTGAGATCTTCATAAAAACAGTGCCCCGGAGAAAGGATAAATCTGTAGGAGCCCAGATGAGTCTTGAATCCCTTCCCAGTGATCCCTGCTCCTCCCTCCTGTCACAACTCAGGAGGATGAAGCCCCAGGAGCTGGTCCCACTTAGACACGCTTGTGCTCAGAGGATATTTCTGCCAATTTGCTCTCATTTTCCTTCATCTGTCTTTTGAAATTGAGGCTTCTCACGGGGGGCTTGTTTCTCCCAGGCATCTGCACTTCTGCTGTTGCTTCCCCTCTAAAAGTTGCCCTTAGGTCACCAACTTCCCCATGGCCATCTCACGTGTATACAGGGACAGATGCTGCTGAGCACCTTGCCCACATTGGCAAGTACTGTGTCCTGGTGGTGCTTTGGACTGAGGCTAGTGATCCTGCTGTTGGTCTGTCAATCACCGAGGTTGTTTCTTGGGATCCTGCCTGGCTCAGTGAGGCTGGGTGGCATGCAATCGTTTTTGTGGGATTTCATCCCTCATTAAGAAAAAGGGAGTTTGAACCATTTCCAGCCAAGAGATGAGAGTGAGCAGGAGTCTGTGCAGAACTCAAGTGATCGTCAACGAGAGGTGATTTATAATATCACTTACGTGCACTTGGCTTTTTGCCTCTGTTGAGGGATAGCCTGTATCTATAAAAATCTAGCTGTAGCGTGTGGCAGAGATTGCCTTCCAGGGGTGGGAGAGGAGAAAAGCAGTGCCATTCACAGGGATGTTGCAGACTTCCCTAACCTCACGCTGCTGCTTTGCTCCGTGGTGCTTCCCCTGCCTCTTGCAATGGCATGTTAGGAAGGAGGACCTTGCAGCCTCCTCCTAAAGAGGGGAGGCAAAGGAGAGAGTCAGATCCCCCCCATTTTTGATGGTCAAAGGGGATTGCTATGAATGAGCTTGAAGTGAATGTGGTTATTCTGCACTCCAAAGCAGAGCATGCATCCTTCCAACACCCAAGGTGTTGGATTTGGGGATGCTGCTGGTTTCACGAGCATGATCTGATGCCCTTGTCCTGTCCTTGGCTGGCTGGAGCCCTGTGGGTGTGTCACAGGGATGTGGTCACCTCCTTCAGAAGCTACTTTGGATGGGTTCTTTTGCCACCGCTGGATGCGGAGATGGGGTCAGGATAGTGCCTTTTTCTGAAGGCTTTGGCTAAGCGATTGCACTGGCAGAAGAAATCACCTCTGGTCTCTTAGTGGTTGCAGCAGGAGAAAGAAGTCTGCTCTAGGTGCACTATTACAGGAGGAATATGCACACAGGGCTCAGATAAACCCACTGGTTTACCCAAATCATCTCCTTGGGGAAGTGATGGAATTTTCAGTGCTTGGGTCGGTCAGAATGGATTGGAATAGGCTTAAGGGTGCCCCTACTATGCTACCTCTACTGAAGGAGACCCATGGGCCCTTTTCTGCCTGTCTTCCGGCAGTGAAGATCACAGGTGGCATCAAAAGCAGGGAGAACCCATGGAGTGGATGGAGAGGTATCACAGCAGACAGTTTGCCAGCGGGAAAACATATGCCTTGCACCAAACCGCAGTAATTGTGCATGTAAATGAGGCAGGAGGATGTGTGCTCAGCTGCCAGAGCTGCGCTCAGCAAACCTGCCTGGAGCAGGCTGGGCATTTGGCATGGCACTGGCTGGGACAGGGGATGCGGGTAGGATCAGCAGGACAGCCTCCTGCTGCCCAGGGCTGAGGGTAGAGACAGTGTTTGGAACACTTGCTGGGTAGCATTTATCAGATGCCTAATGAGACACCCCAGTAAAACGGAGAGCCATAATTTGAGACAAACAGTGAAAAATGCTCGATATTAGGTGCCTGATGAGCTACATCTAGTTGATACGGTAGTTTGAGCGTTAGCTGGCTCGCCTCAGCCTGCACCCAACACTCTGGATGTACCATTCACAGGAGCTTGCTTGGCCTGCAGAGGTTATCCCCCAGCTCCTCCTTGTTCTATCCTCCAGACACAGCTGGGAGGTAGTGGTTGCCCGTCATCATGTGGGCTGGCACATCCCCATCCCATGGGTCCCCTCCTGGCTCAGAAAGCCTGCATGATGCTGGAGAAGTAACTTGCCCATCACCAGGATCCCCTCCATCCCTCTGGGGAATCCATACGACCAAGATCTAACCTATGGATCCCCAAAGAGGTTTATTCCTCATCAGCCAGGCTGGTGTGTGAGCAGCGGAGGAGGTGATCCCTGGACTCAGCCATTTATTTTCCATCCACGCTGCATTCCTCAGACTGGAAGACTCCCAGGTTGTTTTTATAAGCAATGAAAAGAAGCAATTTCTTGTTTTTCTTCCTTGGCTGGTGAGCTTGTTGTGAGTTCTGGGGGCTCATGGCTTTGGGGCAGCCCAGCAAGGTGGCTGTTAGGATGTGGCATAGCACCCACCTTGGGTCTTTCACTTCTCCGAGCTGACTTAATGAAGCCAAGTTAGCAAATGAAACATAATTTCAAAGACAGGCGTGTTGTCGGAAGGTCTGGGGATGATGTATGCCTGTTCCTGCTCGTTAGCAGCTGTCTCTTTAATTACCGCAGATGCTAACGAGATGCTAACAGCATATGGTGACAGGGAGAGCAGCCGCACTTTGCACCAAAGTACAATTTATTTGTGAGGCGGCTGGGAGGGAGGGGTGAGGGCTGGTGGGGTAAAATCTGCTGAGATTTCTCCCAGTCTTCCCTGCTGCCATCCTGCCCTATTTTCCCATTCAGGAGTAATGTCTGTATCTGGAAGGATATGCTGGGATGCAGTGCAGTGAAGCAGTTTGAGCCTTGTGTGGTAAAGGGGTGTCCACTTTCAGCTGCCCTTCTCCAGCTCATTGCTTTAGGCTGATTGGTCCATTGCTGTGCCATGGCTCTGGCCTTAATAGGTCCTGAATTGCTGCAGTTTTAACATCCAGCTTCTTTGGATGAAGCATCTGGTTCCTCTCCCTTCCTCCCACCTGGCAGATAGACACTAATGTGGCTAGTAGCTAGTGCTGGCTCTGACTGTAGGGGTTTGACAGTAGGGACATACAGGTGGCAAATGGCTTAGCTGCAGGAAATGCTCTCCCAGTCCATTTCATCAAGTTGGAGACCTCCAGCAAGTTTTAAAGGAGAATGAATTGCTGCAGGGGAACAAATTGCTTCCATGTGCTCCTTGCAGCCTTGGGGAAGGGTTGGAGGTGGTTTATAAAGTCACAGGTGGGGCTTGATGCTGCAAGGGCACAATAGGCTTCTGTCATTGTAGTTCTGAAAGGCAAGGTTGGTGCCTGACACCTTCTCTCTCCTCTCTCTTCCTCCCCTCTGTCCCCTGTTCCACAGGAATGTGCTGGGGAGCCACTCTTCATGCTGTACTGTGCCATCAAGCAGCAGATGGAGAAGGGACCCATTGATGCCATCACAGGAGAGGCTCGCTACTCCCTCAGTGAAGACAAGCTTATCCGGCAGCAGATTGACTACAAAATGCTGGTTAGTGCAAGTGGGAGCCTCGCTCGTACTAGTTCTTGCCACGATCTCTAGGCCAGCTATTTAACCAGGTTTTGGAAACACCCATAGGCTTTGCAGAGAGTGTTTTTTCTCTTACTACTCTTCCCAGTATCTGTGGGAATCAAAGTTAGAGCCCGGGGATTACCATGAAAGATGGAGAAGTACTGCTTCTCCCATATGGGCTGTCTGTTTCGTCCAGCTGTGTGTTAAGTGGTCCTTCCTCTGGCTGAAGCTGTAGCTGGTTCTTCACCACCTTCTCTCCACCTGTGTGGAGATGAGAGTAAAATGTGCTTGGACAGTGCTGAGGCTTTGCAGTCATTTTTGAATTGGGCATGGTTTGCTGACCCAGGATTGCTTCACAGATATTACATTGCCTATCTGGAAATTGCTGGAGTTTTGGATTGGAAGGGGAGAGGTGGGAAAAAAAAGGAAGCAGGAATATGCCATGAGACTGTACCTTCAGGCTTGGGATTGAGCAGGTGTAACTGTAGACAGCTGCAGCCCCATGCCTTTGGATCTGCCACTCGCACTCAATTCTTTCTCCCCCTCTGCAGACCCTCAACTGTGTGAATCCTGAGAACGAGAATGCGCCAGAGATTCCTGTCAAGGTGCTGAACTGTGACACCATCACACAGGTGAAAGAGAAGCTGCTGGATGCTGTCTACAAAGGAGTGCCCTATTCCCAGCGTCCCAAAGCTGGAGACATGGACCTTGGTAAGAGAGGGGCCAAGCACTCCCCTTGAAACAGCCAAAGGCTGAAAGGCCAAAAAAACATTCAAGGCAAGCAAATGTGAATCTCCATTAGGACAGAAGACCTGTCAGGACAGGAGTGTTTTTGCTTGTACAGTCCACTTTGACTAAGATTGCTGTGCTGGTGGCAGTGCCTGTGCATGGGAGCCTCTGGGGTGAGAATGTGAATGCCAATGGAGAGGAGAGCTCTTCATGCTCTGGTTTGGTTTGGGTTTGGTTCGGGTTGCAAACACAAGGCTGGGGGACAAGAAGGACAGAAATTGTTGGGAACGGTGTTAATAGTGACACTGTTAGAGGAGGAGCAGGAGAATGGAGAGGAGAGGAGTGCAGTAAATGGTTGCCGGGGCCAAACTGATGCTGCTTTTTGTTGAATACTTAGAAACAGCTTTTGCCCAACACCATGTTGACAGTCATCAGTCTGTAGGTTTGAAGGTGATGGCAGGGCTCTTTCGTTTATCCCAGACCTTGCTCCTCTGCTCTGCTTGGCTTTGTCCTCCAAGCTGCCTGCTAACCATGAGCCCTTCTCCCTCACTGGGACAGAGTGGCGGCAGGGCAGGATGGCCCGGATCATACTGCAGGATGAAGATGTCACCACAAAGATTGACAATGACTGGAAGAGGCTAAACACCCTGGCCCACTACCAGGTAATGCTGTCCATTGGTGGAGAGCACTGAGCAGTCACTAGCTGCTGAGAGCTTGAATATCTCTTCTCCCTCCTCATCTTGGTCAGGGCCTGGGTTTGGCTCTCCAGACCTTGTTGCTCATGTGGGGATGTGACAGGGGGTCTTTGGTCACCTCTCTACAGTCTCTGTGTTGTTGATCCTTCTGTTCAAGGAGGGAACTAAATGGAACATCTTCAGGACTCTTAGAGAGCACTCTGTGCTCTGACACTGCTTTGTCGTTTTCAGCTCCAAGCTTTTGAAGCATTTCCATTGTGCTCTGTGGCCCTGAACTGTTGTAGAGGTAGATGCAGTGCCCTGTCCCTGGAGCAGGGTGCAGTGTAGCTTCATCCCTCTGGGGCTGGCTTCTTCACGCTGTGGGATTGTTCTTTGTCTGCATATCCCGATGTCACAGCTTGATGTATGCCATCTGCCTGCAGGTGACGGATGGCTCCTCAGTAGCCCTGGTGCCCAAGCAGAACTCAGCGTACAACATCTCCAACTCCTCAACCTTCACCAAGTCCCTCAGCAGATATGGTGAGTGCGCAGGGGGATCCACACCTTGCTCTCTGCTTTGTTGGCAGGGAAAGCGGCTGGATTTGCAGACTGAGGCACAGGGCCTGCTGGATCAAGGTCCTCTAAATGCTTGATTCTCCTGTACTGTGCTGTATTGGTGTCTGAGAGAGAGCTATACTGGTGTCACGCAGAACCGTTTCTTTGCAACGTATTGGAGAGGAGAGAATGGAAGAAAGACAAGTCAGATGGCTGCAACTAAAGGGTCTCCTCCCTTTTTTATTCCCCTGAAATCTAATTAAGGTAGTCACAGAGGCACTAAGCACTTAAATAAGCCTAGCTTAGGGCTCCATCAAACATGCTGGCAACTGTGCTTTGTAACACATGCAGAGAATGGGGATGGAGAGCTGTAGAGAGGTGGAGGTCAGTAAGGTATGAGTTTCCCTCTGTTTGGTGCTTGCAGAGAGCATGCTGCGGACAGCCAGCAGCCCCGACAGCCTGCGCTCACGCACCCCCATGATCACCCCAGACCTGGAGAGTGGCACCAAGCTTTGGCACCTGGTAAAAAACCACGACCACATGGACCAGCGGGAGGGAGACCGGGGCAGCAAGATGGTCTCTGAGATCTACCTGACCCGTTTGCTAGCCACCAAGGTATGGCGCAGGGACACACAGCTGCCACATGGCTTTTGTGATCTGGATGGGGAGGGATAAGGATTTGGGTTGTCCAGAGGTGCTACTGTTTTTTATTAGACTGCTGCTTCAGTACTGGAACTATTTTCCTGATCTTTGGATCTGAGCTGAAGGTGATGCTTTTGAGTGTCACAGCCCTCAGTGAGTGTCCCTTGAGTGAACTTTCCTATTTGTTTTTTGCACCCTCTGGCACTTTTACTGTTCCCCATATCACTGAGCAACTGCTGCAAAGCAGAGGTGCACTGGAGGAGGCACCTCATCCCATTGGTTTGGCTTTTGGGGTAAAGCTGCAAAATCAGGGTGGATAATTACCTAGGGTGTGTGGCATACAGCACACACGTCACAGCAGGGATCCCCTTCCCCCAGCCTGCATAATACAAGGTGAGTACTGTTTGTCTGAGATCTCTCTAGGGAGGGCCAGGGGCTCTACTGCAGATAATGGCTCAAAACAGCAGAGATTGGGGTCAGCCATCTCTCTTGTGATGTGGCTCCGTGCAATGTAGTAATTAAGGTTTGTTCAGTGATATTTGTGGTCAAGTCTTGGGTACCTTAATGGAACCCAAATAAAGACCACGATACAACATACATTCCCTCCCCCGGTTTTTGCTCTATATGGTGTTTTTATGCTTTTGACATGCCAAACAATGCAGTGAAGGAAAAATGTGCTTGCTGTCATGTTGATTTAAACCACCAAAAACCAGTATGTTTACACAGACGGTACTGTGCTTTTATTCCAGGTTGTAGGAATAGGAGTGAAATTAGTTTAAAGGCTCATCTTTGTGCTGCTGCTGGGTGCTGCTGAATGGCTCTTCTCTCCTTTTCCTCCTCAGGGCACTCTGCAGAAATTTGTGGATGATCTGTTTGAGACTATCTTCAGCACAGCACATCGTGGGAGCGCACTGCCCCTCGCCATCAAATACATGTTTGATTTCCTGGATGAGCAAGCTGATAAGCACCAGATCAATGACTATGATGTCAGGCACACCTGGAAGAGTAACTGGTAATGGAGAGGGGCAGTGAAGCAGGGGCTAGCGATGTCACAGCTAATGATACCTCTTACCCTTCCCACAGGGAGCAGAAATATGCCTCAAGTTGTTCCTGAAAATGTTCCAGCACAAGAGAGGCCCGTATCTCTGTGTTTTGGGTGTGGGTAAATCTTTCACATGCCTTCCTGCAGTAGAAAAAATCCCAGGAATGCAGTGCTCACTGCTGCCACAGTACCACGTTTCCACTTATGGCTGGAGCTGGCTGAGGACAAACACGATTCTGTTCCCATCTCACCTTGAGTGAGCACAGCACGGCCTTCTCTGTCCTCTGGGCTCCTCCAGATGTGCCAGCCTGCATTCTCATCTTAGCTGTCCTGGAGGTGTTTGCCACACTCCCCCCAGTCACTCAGCTGAGTGTGCCCTAACAGAGTTAGTGTGAAGCCATGTACGCATCCTCATCCTCCGTAACCTCGCCTGCAGAGCCAACCCATCAGCTCTGCTAATCGCTCTCTGAAAAGTGGGGAGGAGCTGCTTATGAGACCTCAGTGAGCGCTGTGCTGAGGCCAGGGCTCCAGCACACGTCTGCTCCTTTTCTGCAGCTCCCCCTCTACATTCTGCGTTTCTGCTGCCTCACTGATTTCATCTCTGATCTTGCCGTTGCTGGAGACGGGTACGTACGTTCCCGTGCCTGGCATTTGTTAAATGGCAGCCAAATTGCTTTTGTATAGTTCAGTAACTGTTGGCAATTAGCAGGGCAGGAAAAGAAACATTTTTAAATGGAGATGTGAGAGTGCGGAAGTGCTTGGAACTGATTTATAACTCTGCTTTCTATATTAAAAGAAGGAGTGAAATGCAAGGGAGGAAAAAAAGGCCCGCTCTGCAGGGGCTGGGCATGCAGGCTTCTGCATACTAATGTCTGTGCTTATCTCTGGGCGCTAATTCAATGTGTGGAGCTAATTTCTTGAGGCCATTCCCTTCACAAATGAAATATGTACATGCACCCGGTACCCTCATTAAGAAAGTCCTGGGGAATGAAGTGTGTTTTGTCTAAGATAAAAGCATTCACTGGGTGTTGGTGCTGAGGAGTGACAGACTGGAGAGGCATTCTAATGGAGGGAGACCCTGAAAGGCTCCTGGGAGAGGAGAGGGGCAAGAGAGTGGGAAATGGAGCGATGGAGAGTGGCATGTGTGTAAGTATGCAGCAAACATCCAGTCCCAGTGCCTCCACCGCTGAGAAATGCGTCTCTGGCATCTGAGACTGCCTAAATCGTTCTCTCATCTTAATTGTGCTAATGAGCCTCTGGAGGAATCCAGCATCCCCCTCCTGCAGCACGAGAGACGTGTGAAATGCCACCAAGTGTCTTAGGATTATTGATACGGGAGGAGGGAATCGTGCCTGGTGACCCATGGGTTCAGCGAGGGCTATTCCGTGTGAGTAGACCTGTGAAGAAACAGCAGCTCTTTGCTGCCCTGCTTTGTCTTTGGAGACATTGACAGTGCTGAGGCATTTCTCCATGGACAGCTGTGGCCATGCTGGGGTGGGCAGAAGACATGGTATTGCACTGAGGCAAAGGCAAATGGCTGTTTGCTCAAGGCTCGTTTCACGTGCTGACTCCTGTTTCTTTCTTCCTTCAGTCTACCTCTGCGTTTTTGGGTGAATGTGATTAAGAACCCCCAGTTTGTGTTCGACATTCACAAGAACAGTATTACTGATGCCTGCCTATCCGTGGTGGCTCAGACATTCATGGACTCCTGCTCAACTTCTGAGCACAAATTAGGAAAAGACTCTCCCTCCAACAAACTACTGTATGCCAAGGACATCCCCAACTACAAGAGCTGGGTAGAAAGGTGAGTAGACTCGGCAGCATCTTCTTGCTTCCCTTGGAGGACTTACACTTACATAGGCGTGGAGGTTTCACACTGAGGGTTTGGTTGTTGAGGACACTCTGAAGAGACACTGCGCTAACGCTGGTGGGAGGTAATCCTCATCTGGGAGGCACTGCTTTCTTGTGATCATCTCCAAGAGTGAGCTTGCAATGACTGTTTGACAGAGCTGTTTTTGTCTTGCTTAAAGGATGCTAAAAGCAACCTCCACTTTTGGCTTGTCTGATGTTTTCTGTTGTAAAAACTTGGTCAGTACTAAGAAATTGCTAACATCTCCCTTGATTGCTTTTGAAGAGCAGTAAGAAGTAAGCCATGGACTAGAGAAGTGCCTTTTTTGTAACATGACAATACATGCAGGTTTTGCTGAAATGGATGAAAATTGCAGTTTCCTGTCTCTCATCCCTCTGCACATCTTGCCTAGGAACGTGATGAGAGCTCACGCTCCAAGGCAGTGCTTGGGCAAGGAGCAGGTCCCTTGCTCCTTGTGACACCCTTCTGTCATGTTAGCTGATGATGTTAACCTTCTGTTCCTCTGAATAATGCTGTATTAAGTATTCGGAGTTTGAATGTTACTGATTGCAAATTGATGCTGTTGGGCATAAAGCTTTGTTTAGTTGTATCTTCTGGGGAGAGAAACCTGGGAGATGTCCTACAAAGCCCTCCCAACAGAGTTACTGTTAGAATATTGCCGGGTTGCACAATGGGATTTTAAAAAGCTTAAAAAATACCACATTTCAGGTTTCTGAAGAAGCCTTCCCCTTCTGCTGATAAGCTGTGCTAAAGATCATACCCTGTACTTTGCTGAGGACCCTTTCCATTTTTGGTGTCTGGATTGGGTACTGAATGAGCCAGACGTAAGACATCCAGGCAATAATAAGCATTGTATTTTCTAGTTTGAAGCATGAGACTTTGTAGCTTATGTTGTCCTTGGTTGTTTGCTAGTACTCAGTTACGTATTTATGTCACACCGTTGGCATGCCTGGTGCTTTGCAGGCAGGTGCAAAGACATGGTTCTTCCCTCGAGGAAGAGACAGCTTGGATCAGAAGAAAACATGTCCCTGAAATATGCTGGCTAAGATGAGAGATGAGCTGTGTTGTAATAGGAGAGAGTTCTTTGCAGAGGGCTAGAGGGGACTTTGGAGAGGGGTCCCTTAGGAACATCACAAATTTTGCTGCCTTTAAGCATAAGGTGAATTTCTCTGACCTTGCCATCTCTGTGACAAAAATACTCGGCATTGTATTATACTCAGCCTGCAGAGGAAAGGTATAAAACCATTCCAGAGAGAAACATTGGTCTAGATGTGCTTCATCCCCAGGGAGAAGTTGGGAGATGTAACCAATGACAGATGTTCCTACCACCGCTTACTGCAGAGCAGGAGGGTGCTGGGCTGTGCTGCTTGGGAGCACGGGGTGCAGCCCCAGAGGCAGTGAGTGGGGTGTGTCTGCTGTCGGGTTTTGCTGCAAAATCTGGCATTTCTGGCTTTTGGCACAGTTATCACTGTCAAGCTTTGCAGAGGCAGGATTGGAGGTAGTGCAGGGGTGGCTGTGTGGGACACGTTCCCCCTAGCAGCTCTGTCTGCCACCTGAGTTCAGGCATGCTAAAAAAAACCAAAACACAAAGAGTTTCCTGCCAGTCTCAGGCAGAAGTAGCATGTTAAAGGGCTTAGGGGATGGGAAGCTCTGGGAAGAGACTGCTGCCAGGGTCATGGCTAGAGTTTTGGTCCATGCATGCTTGTACTGACAAATACTGTTTCCTGCCATCCTTTGTGTCATGATAAAACCCAGAACTGCTTCATTTTACCTGGACATGTAAGAGTTGCCCAAGTATTTTATCACTAGCTGAGCTGAGCGCTGTGGGATGGAGTGGATCCTCAGCTTCATCTCCTCGAGTGGTCTTGCTGCCATCTGCTCCTATCCAAATGCTCTAGCTGTGTCCTACCTCAGCATTCAGCTGATGATGCTAATGATGCTAATCACTGTAGCAGAAACTTAACTGAGCTGTTTGAGGAGTCATGAGGAGTAAAGCAAACCTGGGAGGGACTTGTGCTCTGTGTTTCCAAGTGCTGGGAGCAGGCAGGGCTCATTTGATGTGGATTGGGTTTCTTTCTGGATGGAGGCTGATGGACCTATCCAGTGTGGTTTCCTAAAAGACCTCAGTCTGTTGCTTGAATTTGCACCTGTGCAGCTAAGTCTGGGTCACAAAATGCCTTCTGGTTTTGTTGAAGCAAAATATTCTGTTTTTGCACCACAATTCTGGATGGTACAAGCTGTGTCTGGCTTTCCTGTTATCTCCTGAGCATGTCAGTGGTATAAATGTGGGGTGGGGCATTGAAATTTAAGGTGTCCAAGGAGAAGAAAGGTGTGTCTTACTGGTAGCAACCATAAGAGAATGCAGCTGTGCAGAAAAAAGCAGAAGTGTAACTGCAAGAGCTTGATCATGGCATGACTTAGGTTGGAAGGGACTTATCTAGTTCCAGTGATGTGAAGTTACCTTGAGTGCCATCTTTGGCTATAGAAACATTCTGAACTTAGAATGGTAACAAACTCTTGTGTGTTGCATCATGGGTTCTGCCAGGTGGGTTTCAGTGCAAAATGGGACAGGAAGGAGAAAGAGTGTGTTATTTATGAGATCGGAAATCCCTGATCCTGGCTCCCTGGTATGATGGGCTGGGGTGGGTTCAGCCAGTGCTCTGTGTCTCGATGCTGCTCCTCTGGCAGCATGTTGCTAATGGTGCTCACCTTCTGCAAAGTGCTGGGAGACCTCTGGATGAGCAGCAGCATTACAGTGAGTGATGGTGGTGCATCACCACTCTGAGAAAAGATGCTCCTCATACTGCTTCTCCTGAGGTTCTCGGTAAGCATCGTGGGGTGGGCTCATCCCCTTCACTCCCTCAATATTTCTGACTGGCTCTTCCATTTCTCCTGCCTCTCCTTTGCAGATATTATGCAGATATTGCTAAAATGCCAGCAATTAGTGACCAGGACATGAGCGCCTACCTGGCAGAACAGTCACGGTTACACCTCAGCCAGTTCAACAGCATGAGTGCGCTGCACGAGATCTATTCCTACATCACCAAGTATAAGGACGAGGTAAGATGCAGTGATGGGACCTCACACCTGGGCTGCAGGCTGTGTGTCATAGCCCTCGGTTTTGCATTATCCCTATTTTATGAGATGGGGGTGGGTGGTGCACAGAGCCGAGATCAAAGGTGAGGCCATATGTGGAGCCAGGAGCTGATGGACAGTCCTATCCCTGCTCTGTGGCCCTCCCTATGCTGATAAGCAGGGCTTCATTCTTGTGTTTTCTGCTGGGAACAATGTGGAAAACACCTCTTTTTCTCTTACTGTACGTACACTTGGCATGTGAGCATAGCAGAGCTTTAGAAATGGCAGCACTGTTGCAGTGTGCCTAATCTGTGTGCCATGCCCAGCCCAGTGCTGCAGTGGTACTGGCACCACACTTACATTGGTGTCATCCAGCTCTGCTGCATGGGGATATGAGAGGATGTGGTGGCCTTCTCAGCACTTTCTTTGGGAGTATCAGTAAGAATGGTCAAAAACCCCTCTGTTGTAATTTATACAAATTAACTTCACGAAGCACTGCTCAAATCCGCACCCCGCATCTTTTTATTAAAGCAATAAAGTATGTAACTACAGTAAAACACAGATCTATACATATGGCACGATAATATCGCTTTTATTCTCCCAATAAAGCAGAGCGATGACTGTGTGAACAGTGGCTTATTTAGATGACAAAGCACTGGCACTTTTTGCACAGGGAGGTTGGGCCCCATCGCTGTAGTAGCAGGGCTGGCCTTCTGGGTCTAACGACAGCAATGGGACCGTGGTGGCCTAAGCCCTTGAGTAGCTGAGTGCTTTGCAGGGAGGAAGAAGGAGGAGGCTGAGGAAGGTTTCCATTCCCCTTGGTTGCCTCTCTTGCCTACAGGAGTCAGAGGAAACCCTGGTGCTTGGGAAGGGGCCACGTGATGGTCAGTGTAACAGCGCTGGTGGGATCCGAGTGCCATTCCCCAGCTGCAGTGGGATGACATGTCTGGGTCTTCTGTGTGATGGGCTGGCCATTAGGATGTTTTGCAGCTGGTACAGCAGCTCTGTGGTTACCATGAGGGTGGCAGATGAGCAGTTCAGAGGATCCAGATCAGTCAGCACCCCTCAGTGACCATCAGGTGCTTGCCTCCTACTGGGTAAAAGTCCCCAGTCCTTAAAAAAACTTGGCTAAGAGCAAGGAAGGGGCTGTGTGGCACTGATGAGCTGCTCTTGGTGGGCACAGGTTCTCATGTTGTCAGATAGTTGCAGCCTGACATCTGTTGAGTGTCTTGCTCTCCAAGCATTGCAAGCGTGTTCACAGCTCTCAGGAACTTCTTTTATTATTTGTAATGGAATTAATAAATCGCAGCTGTTCCCTTTGTTTGTTTTCATTCATTAAGCACAATTATATGCAGCTCGACTGCACCCTCTTTGATGCAAAATGGGAGAGAAAAATTTTTCCTGTTGTTCAGTGCAATAATAAGCTGTCATTGGCTGTGAATGAAGATCATAATTAATTTTCATGTGGATACTTGCATCTTGGTAATCAGTGGTCCTGGCTCCTTACAGCAGGTGATAAACTCAGCACTGGTTTCCTTTTCATAGAATCATAGAATCATTTGAGTTGAAAGTTACCTGTAAAGATAATCTAGTCCAACTCTCTTTTATTGTAATAGTTTATGTAAGGGTGGGATGAAAGAGGACTGGGTAAGCGCAGGGGCAGGTTGTGCATTTTCTAACACCTCAGCATTGCACAGTACACAGCTGGCTCAGTGGGAGAGGCAGAAGTAGAGGG